CCAATTAATGAAATTCTTTTAGAAAGAAACGAAGACCCTGCGAAAGGTTAATCGATTCCTCGATACAAGAAAGAACGCAGTTTTCACGATGTGCATAGTTTAGCGTTCGCGTGAAGGCATGTTGATTCACATAGGGTAAATAAGAAACTGGTTTTCAAAATCATTTATAACCGATATGTCAATAAAAATCGCGTTTCGAAGTGTCCGGCTCACTAATAGCCGCGAGATAAATCAACTCGCAGCTCCATCGAGTCTGCCGAATTATCTGATAACAACGAGTAACAGAAATGCGCGGATTGTCTTTAAGTTCTTCTTTAGCCGATAACATTCGCCACGCGAATCGATCGCATTTCGCGTGATAACAGAGCCCTTGTCGAGTATTTCGATCTTGGCGGGAAAAAGGATCGATCGTCTGGCACCGGTAACTAAGCCGTGTCGAAAGTAAATAACGGGGAAATTAAATTGTTGTTTGCCGGGCCCTGGCAGCCGACTGATTTTCAAGTGTTAAACGGCGGTTAACCGTTAAACGATGACAGGAAGATCGATAAACCACCGTGCAACAAACAACCGATCCTCCGCGACAAACCAATTCCTCCTCCACCCTTCCGCAAACGTCACGTGGCGGCATTTTTCCGCAAAAATTACTCGAACCACCGAATCGATTTCTACGCGCGGTCAAATCGCAGGTTTGCATGGATTACAACTCGATTCACAGCATGTTACGCGTGATTTACACGTAGCAGCAAAAAAAAAGCAACGAGCATTTTACAAAATTTCTGGTGTAGGTTCTCGATCAACGAACGAGTTTTATAGGATTCTATATCAGAGACTATTGCGACCTATCAACTAGGTGGCCATCGGTCAAGTTGCAACTGTTCTGTTGAGGTCGCCAACCTTGAACGATACTAACGTCCAAGGTACATTAAAGATTTCTAGTAAGCTTGCGATTAGTATGTTTATTTAAAGTGTTTGGTATAAACGTAAGAATATGAAACGCAAGTAGCAGAATTTAAACATAGGCGAGTGCATGATGAGTCTATTTCCCTCGAAGCTCCTGGTGTTTATATTCTGTCAGTCTAGGGGATGTGTTTTCGTCAACGTCTCTTGTGAGGTGGTAATCTGTGCGTCCCTGGTCGAAGGTCTAACGTCCAGTTGGCGGCGTCGTCCTTGGACTATCGTCGAGTTCTCATCAGATGTCAAAGTTTATGACACGACGAGTGCTTAAAATATACCAATTACCTTCTCGATGTGATCAGATTTGTAAACTTTATAACGTGTAACGTGGGAAATTTCAAAAAATAGCAGATGTGTCATCTGTATCGTAGATTAAGGACAACGATAAACCCTGTTCGATCGTTCGCGGAGAGACGCGACCGCGAGGAAGCGCGCCAACGGGAGTCGTAAATTCCCGTTACGATTATATAATCGATACCACGAAGTGATCGATCCCCTAATTCGGTTAGGATAATAGAGGTGGTTGAATTAATTATAACACTGAGAATAACAGGTTATAAAGTACCATACTCTTTATTCCACGAACTTGTAGACAAAATAGTTACGCTCGGTGCGTATAGATATAAGTTAAACAGATGACTGATCTAAAGATGGAAAACCAGTCAAGAGATGTAGATATTGACCGATCTGAGGACGATGAACCAGTGAAGTTCGGTGACGACGCTGTTGTCACGTAAAGTTGGTACTTGGAGTGTAGTAAGAAGGCTGAGTCGTGAACCCAACTACTAATTTTCCTTTATAAAACTTTATTATAAATGTTAACACTTACAAGAATAACACCGAACCGGAGAAAAGGGGTTGTATGAGTACAGCAACTAGAAGAAGAACAAGAACTGCCCGAGCTGGATGAAGTCTCGGTTTATATACGTTTTAGTTTTAGGATGTTGGGGGGCTAGGTGTAGGTTATGATGTAGAAAAGTGTCTGAAGGTCGGATATCCTATCTCTGATGTGGACTAAGGTGCGTCACAGCCTTGGTGTATGCTATGATGATAAGGTGGTGATGTGTCCAAAGGAATCCGAAGTCAGCGGTCGATGTCTTATCACTGATGTAGGTTGAGATGTGATTGATGTCACACTGTTGTCACGTAAACTTAAGGGTTGGTTGATGAAATAAAATAGCTGAGTCGTAACACAACTATTAATTTTGTTTTAATTAAACTTTATTATGAATTCAGCAATCGCCATGTAATACACACTGAATTAACATAAATCACAATTCACTCCAACTACGTTATGTAAAACTTAATTACGATGATACGTTAAGTACGCGATTGTTATAACGGTAGAGACCGGTGAAGATACGTTGGCTGTTCTAAGGATATAGAATAAGTAGGTCTTACTGACGATACTGTGTCTGAGGAAGGCTAGGGGTGGATGTGTCTGAGGACACGGGACTATCGGATTTGTTAATGACAATTTTAAGGTTAAGGAAGTGAGGACAGTAGACACCGTCTCCGATTGGATAATAAGACGGTTGATGGACCAGGAAGAGTTTTAGCCGCCCTCGCGAGAGAGTTGCCAACGGAACATACCAAATGTGGAGAAAACCAACTTTCTAAGCTAACACGTGGTAGACAATAAACGTAAAGGGAAATCTAAGACAAGAAATTCTCCGAAGGACCTTAACTATGAAAATTCCAAGACCCCTGGTGGGTACTTAAGACTACTGAGGGTACGGGCCAAGGGTGTGCAGACATCTGGGTTGCCATCCTGTCCGCGGTGTGTGGCCTGGTCTCTGATGTGAATTGACGTTACACTGTCGCAGAGGAAAACTATTGCTGGGTGTTGGTCGCCCCACTACTGGTCGCCCCACTACTCGCGGAAATGACCGTTGAACATGGGAAAAACGCGACCTTCCCATTTTGTACGTAATGGAGCAATAATTTTATAACGATTAAGGACCCTAACGATAAAATACAAGTGCTTAGTTTTAATACAGTTCCTTAGGATTATTGCGACCCGACTAATTATATTTGCACGGCTAATGGCCGCCTCGACCGAGGGGTAGATTCTGGGTGACGTAAAGGGTCACCGGACGTAACAAACTCTGAACAGGAATTTCCATACCGAATAGACCAGAACTCAAAATCGTTGACCATAGCGAAACAACCATTCCGAAGATGAAACACTTCGGCTTAATTAAGCTAGAAAAATTTACCAAATGTCCAGCTGGGCAAATTGTAAAGTACAAATTAAATAATAATAGAGAGAAAACCTCGGTTTAGTCCCTTAACCCGACTTACTGTCGCCGACTGAAGAGAGATATGTTCGGGAAGGTGCTCGAAGAAGGTCGATAGAGAATCAGCATTGAGCGGAACGGTCTCGTGTCGTGTCGCGAAGCCTGCTGCGATCGTTCTCTACAAGTGCATCCGACGCATTGTATGCACTGGCTAATGGCTGGGTAACTGGCACACCGACACGGATAAACTTACGCACACAAAGACGAGAGATTTCTCGGTACTGGAACAGGCCATTTGCATTCTGTCGTATTTTGCCATTTGTCGATCGTCCGAAAGTTTGAACAGCAGATCGTTATCTGCTTATTAAAAACAGAATACCTGTTTGTTAAGTCGTTGATTGTTCGATGATCAATTGGACCGACTTGTCTATATGATCAACGTAATCAATGTGTACTCGCGCCTCGAATCACGTTAATTCCGTGAAAGATTTATATTGATCGATCGAGATAACGTTAAATGGTCAAACAACCGGTGGAAATTAATCTTGAAAGTGCATGCGTTTTAATGAAAAAGGAAGTAAACACGCACTATGTTGGTACTCGGTGCACGCACCGAGACTACGCAGCCACGTTTTCTTATTCTCCAAAGTAAGGATGTATATTCCGCGAACGTCGCCCGGTCGGTGAGCGCATCTGCAAATGACAGCAGTTGTTTCCAAGTTTAACTAAAGCTTCGCAGTACGTAGCCGGTTTTCCGATTCGCTTGGTTACCTGTATTCGCGACAGTTCCCTATGCGCCAGTAAAACGCTTGGAATAATTTCGCGCCCATTACTTCTACCAGTCTAGGTCCTCTAGGATCCTCTCCGCGAGGGAATTTTATAAAATCAATCGGTAACTTTGAATGCTTTTCCTGCAATGTTCGTTCTATTCCCAATCGTAATCGTAATTGTAATCGAAATCGTGTAATCGAAATACTTTTTAATCGAAATTCACAGAGAATCGTGTGAAAAAGATTAGAAAATAAAGAGAAACAGTTTATACTTTTTGTTTCGTATCGGTTCTTCAAGTTTCTATAATTCCTGTTCGAAGAGTTACGCCTGTCTCGGCGGCGGCGCCTTAAACGATATCCTTTGCATCGATTCCATGTAAATTGATGGAAAATTGATATCGTTATGATACATAGTTAAACAACATCGATCATCGATCCATCATTGTGTCTACCGTCGTTAACAACACGGATAATTTGTCTATCTCGCGGACTAGTTCGAAACTAAAGAGCCATTATAGGTTCGACGAGGTTGAAAGATTACGGGAACCAATTTAATCGGACCGATCGTTTCCTTCGTTAGAAAGAATATGGAAATACGATGTTTCGAGATTTGCAAAATATTACGTTACAGAAGTACCCTCGATAGTCCTGGCCAAGTATTCTCGGTTGTTTCGCGTTTCTTTAACAATAGACGCGCGCATTATTCTAATGATATTCGCGAACGTTTAGGTATAAAAATATCTCACACGACAATTGTATCGATCAGTTGACGCCTACGTTTCATAAGCCATGAAACACTTGTTAATTTTAAACGTAGGCTTTAATAAAATATCTCGATGTGAGCATAACCTACTCTTGGTAATAATACACGCGGTGACTAAACACCAATTTCATCTTGTAATTACAGCATTCATTTATGCATATCTTAATTGCATTAAATGTTTCGTAACGTACAAGCGATGATGTATGCGTTTCGCGAAGGATTTGATTAAAATACTGGCTTTCACATAACACGGATAAATATCAAATAATTTTCTGAACGATCAGTTTATTGCTTTATTAATAAGCAATGTCACAATTTATAATATATAATACACGAAGCTCCTATAATTTGTATTTAATTATTACGCTGGACAATGTAGCTTAATTATTGTTCGTTCGAACGAAACATTCTTTTCAACCGTATTCAAAATAATTACGATTCTCCTTCTCACCTAATTTCATAATTTCCTCCCCTCCCGAAAATATCGATACAATTGTAGGTATACGAATACAACGAATCGGATATGAAAGAGCAACGTTTAGCGCGAAAGCCGATCGAAATGCAAGAGAACCGGTTTCATATCGTCGACAACAAATTTCTGGTACGCACGCTCGATCAGAAACGACATTATAAATCGTGAATGAAACATGTCTCGATTTGATCGCTAGCTTATGCCACACCCCCGATCTCGATTTCTCCTTATTGATCGATTCTTGCCGCTGTTCGACGGTAGAAATGAAAATCCGCTGCCGTGCAAATGGAGCCGATAAATCGTCTCCTCCGTATTTAAATCCCGGCGCCACGTGAGATTCCGTTCCGTACTTTCTCGAAAGTTTAATTCAAGATCAACCCCGTCTAATTCCCCATTCTTCTCGTAAAGCAGCGAATCCAGCCGAGCTAATAACGTGTCCCTCTGTATCGAACGAAATCGATGAGACTTAATCCCTGTCTTCGCCTCTTTTCCATCCTAAATTCCTGTCGACCGGAGGTAACCGAGTCTTGTCACGTAGCCAATTCGGTCCGAGTGCTCCTTAATATTCACGCTAATTCGAGCCGAATCCTCGATCAGCCAGATGAACGTTAATAACGTTAATGCGAGTTTAATACTTGTTTGATTCATCGAAAAATATATATCTTCCCTTAATCTCTCTCTCTCTCTCTCTCTCTCTTTATCTACTTTTTTATTCCTTTTTGTTCCGCGTAAAAGCAAAGTTTTGTGAATTAATCGAGAGCCACTAGATCGATCCAACTAGTGTATATACTGTACAATTTAAGAGATACCTTTAATCTGTAATACATAATTTTCTAACGAAGTACGAACAAATAAATTTCAAGAAAGATTCAATTTTAATGCGAGAACAATGTTCTTATAGAACTGAAGAGCCTCTCGGTAAACGTTGATTCGTGTTTCGTCGGTCGAGAGTTACTCTTCGTACCATGCATCCTTACGGATGGCTGACAAATCCGCGGATACTCGCCATTGTAAATAAAATAGAGCGCGGTATGCGACTATAGAAACAATAATGAGGGCGTCGGAAACGCAGGAGTTGGTTCGATGAAATTACCGTTCCCTACTTAACGAACAGAACGGAGAAATGATTCTATCCCCGCTGATGCTTCCTCTGGCAATAGGTATAATTTCCGTCCTCTCGTTGCTTTCTCCGTCTGCACATGACAAATGTCGCTGCCTGGTTTTGCTTTAAAAGGCCACTGTCTACCCTCTATCGCAACGTTTATTTAATCGAGGAAATTGCACGAGAAGTCCGTTCTAAAACTTGTCATTCTCGTTCGAATTAGAATTATCGCGGAAGCATTTCAAAATTCCACCAGCTATCGTTTACATTTGTATCGGGTTAGAATTTGGTTCACGGAGATGTAGAAATTCTACAAAAAGAAAAAAACAAAACGACGAATGAAACGCTGGTTCTAAAACGATGTATGGCCAATAAAATGGAACGATTCAACGACCGTTTCCACGCGTACTCGAGAAACAGTTGCGATTGCGAATCTGGAAAAGAGCCATTCGATACGATATAAACCGTGGAAAGCCGAAGGAAGCGAAACGAGTGACCAAACACCGGTTCGATTCCTCTTCGATTCTAATTAGCTGCTAGTATCTCTCTGTTTATCTCTTTTGCGCAAGTATCCACGTTCGATTTACCGTCTGCCGATCGTAGACGCGAACAAAGACAAACGGCTGTTCTCTATTTCAATTGGAAGATCGCACTGCGAATAGAATCGAACGAATCGAAATACATGGAGACACCTCGCTCGTGTAGCCACGAAAATACAGCCAAATATTTCCTCTCTTACCCGGAACGACTCGATCGTTTCGCTGACACCGATGAAAATTCCGTCGACACGAGGGTGCACCGAGCACGAATCAAATCGTTGAGAACACCGCTAGAGAAGAAAATCAAAACCAGGATATTCCCAGTTTTGCGAATATTTCGCTCAGGTCTCGGCAGCGTCAACGTTTCATTTAGTGACGTATAGACAGACGGTTCACCGACGAGTACGTAATTTAAAGGGAATGAAAGGTGGCTGACGTGAGTCTCATCGATGAAATGCATCGTTCGCCATTGTTAAAGGCTCTTTCTCTTCTTTTCTGCAATCGCAAGTGTTACCGGTACACGTTTTGATTTGACGTGTTCGAATTTCACGCGACTGTATGGTTATAGCCCCGCGTTATCGATAACGACCACTATCAGTGGTTCGATCAATTACGTGGTGCGATAAGGATAGAGATTTCATTTGCAACGTATAAAATGTAGCGTATCGTTTCCGTACGTGCCGATTTTTACTGGTATAATCGATAAATACTCGAATCGCTTTGGGTTAACGTAATAATTACGAAACAGTTTCACCTTGTTTTATCGGTTTTCGCGAATTTTTCAATTATATCTAGCGTAATAAAAAGAACGTGTACTTAAGAGCGATAAGAATCAATTTATGTACTCGAAAGATATCGTTGTTTAACTTTAATTTCATTTTTTTCGCTCCTTATGTTTGACGCCGCGTCGGATAATTTCTATTAATCGAATATTGTGTAACTTGCTTAACAACGACGTTTTTCTTTTCTCTCTCTCTCTCTCTCTCCCTCTCTCTTTACATTTAATAAGGAACTCTAAACTTGTACACTTAATAACGTGGAAAATAGTAAAATCTTATACACATATTATATAACATTTATCTATAATACAATTAATCGTTGCATTAATTAATCTGTATTGGCATACAAGGAAGAGTGCTGACAAATATTATGTATCTGTCGGGTCGTGTGGAAATTTTTCAATAGTTGACCTGATTTCTTCACTTTATGCAACGCGATCCAACTTTATCTAGGATGAAGTAAACACTTATCCGTGAATGCCTCTGTATTCGAACAAGAAGATGATATACATATGTACTAAAATTAAAGCTACGATTATCGTACACGCGGCGATCAATTAACGGCTTATAGAATAATATTAACGCATATAACGTGGATTAAACATCTATTAATTATAGGTAACGCATAACCGGAATAATAAAATTCTCGAATGGAGTAACTTTGTAAAATGTCAAATGTATATAAAAATTTGTATCATACGCGAGTTGTATATATATCTATATATATATATCGTAACTAATCAATCGTGTGCACTTGTTTGTTGATGCGACAGTTGAAAGCCCTTACAATACGTCCAACATAGCGCTATTCAACAGAAGTAAAGCTATCACAGAAGTCTCCACGAGATTCACGCGTCGATAAATGAACTACTAAATTGTGTAAAAACGCGCATTAAACAGAAATTTAAAATCAATAACGATGTATCGATTGTAGACACGAATGAACTAAAAATCTATCAAAATGTTTCCATATGTATGGTATCCATGTTGGTATAAATATTTGAGATATTGTTGGTACTGCTCTGCGCGTAAACTGATCCATCGATTTCATTGTCCACGTCCTCCGAAAAACTCACGAGCACCTGTGGAAGCAAAACTTTAATTAATTTCTCTTTCTCTCTTTCTCTCTCTCCCTTCTTTCCCTTTTTGCGTTGTATCGCAAAAAAAAGGCAATTGCCGGAAAAAAATCGAAACATAAATTGATTGGTGAATAAAATAATAGACACAGTACGTAGACGCTACAGCGTACGTTCATATATAGCCACTATTTCTCAATTTCCTCGTTGTCATGTGAATTATCGTGACATTTATTGGAAGAGAACTTTTGCTGAAAATTTATCGGCTATTCGATGCCGGCAACCTGATTGTGTCAAATGTATCGTAACGAGTAAATTGACAATTACTGCGAATGAGAACCGTGAAAGTTTCACAAGTCTGTGCACGCTGCTCCCAATGAAAATGCTTAAACTTTCGATCGTTGCGTCGGTATATCGCTGCGATCGTTTATCGCGTCCTCCGCGTTGAGATACCGCGCGCGAGTGAAGGGGAATAAAACAGGAAGACAAGGGACTGGTATGGAATAGAGGAATCGAGGACAGGACGCTTTCCCTTCAACGAGGAACCATAAAAATCTGGAAAGTCTCGCGGAACGAGCCGAGTCTTCGCGGTTTACATACAAGTTCACCCTGGAGGAGCAAGAACTGCATGCCGGTTTCAACTTTTTTGCGGCTAGAATTTGTCTCGCGTTACCGGTTGCTTCGTGAAACATGACGTCGCCATCGGGGGTAACCTGATATCATCGATTCCTTATTTTTGACCATCTTCGACGTTTGAAAATCGCAGCACTAAAATCTGAAGGGACAGGAGTATCTTTTTGTTTTATCTCGAAAAGAATGGAAAAATGTGCATTCATTAAAATCTGGAAAACGCAACTTCTAATGTGTTTTTACTGCAAGCACGGTATATGTACGCGCAGATAAAAAATCAATATACACGACGTGTAAATTATTTAAAAAGCTGAAATATCTCACGATTATATAGAACGTTTTAATTAACGAACAAGTCCTGAATATTCGAACGATCGGTGCATGTAGCGATCTTAATTCAGTTAGTTTTCCAAGACACTATATTAAAGGGCGCTGGGAAATCCCGCTGTTTCGCAAACGCCTTTGGCAATGGTACAATTTCGCCGACTAAATTATGCGGGCGGTGTGTTCCTGACTGTCGAAACGATCGTTGCTCGAGTTCTCGAAACGCGATAAACACGGCCGACGCTTACTTTCCGCGTCGCCAGCAATTAAATTGCCGCCGTTCGGTCGCCTTTGATAGCGTGCGGTTCTTCGTTTCCAGACCAGAATGAATTTACTTTGCTGTGGATCTGGTCAATTCTGGTCTCCAAAGAGATTCCTTTTCAATTTCTTCTTTTTACCAAACGGAGAAATTCGTTTTCAGATGTGAACGCCAGCCACGAACATAGAAAAATCGGTTAGAAAAGGAGCCACGTACTTTCAGGGACCACGAACTCTATGTATATTTATCTCTACGATCTCGTCATGTCGGAGATCAGCCTCGTGATTTACGATCCTATCTTTCTATCGCTTATAAAACGTCGTCGTAATTAAAATTCCAATTCCATTGTTCGTCCATGAACTTCCCTGTTATTCCGATTATTGTTTAATTCAAGCAATTTCAAGTTGCGTCCTTCTCAATTTACGAAAATAAAGAGAAACTGGTAATTACAGTTAAACGGTATTCCGAAGAAGAATGGGGCAATGATCTATGAATGAATAAACGGTTCACGCAGAACACTATACAAAATAATGCACGACCCCCTGATTATTAACGATAATAATCTCTTTACGATATCGAATTTATTATTCAAGCGGTTCGTATCGATGGTTGCTTAATTAATATTCTCTCGTTGGATCAACATCGAGTCGAGTCACACTCGGAGTACCAGTTTCTTTTAGTTATCTCCTGCTGATCGTCGATTAGGTAACTCTGTGAGAAAATTATTGCAACAAAAAGATGAAAAGTAGTCGCTTCTTTCGCGTGTGAAGCAATTAATTAAGTGGTTCAATGGTCCGAATAGAAAGCTCTTTGAAGAATAGGTGGATCGTGCAACCGGTTGCACAGATAACGATTAATTAAGCCAGAAGGTGTTTGAAATTAGTTATTCAGGGTGAATTTTGGGGTTGGCACCAGGGGCAACCGTTTCAGACTAAGAAGGAGCAGTCTCTCAACCGAGTTAATCTCCAGGGATGAGCTTTGTGTACGGGTAAACATAACCGGATCAACAAATCCCGTCATAGCCACGTATATAGACGGTCCTTGGAATCTTATCTCCATTAAGGAGACAGGACGCTGTGACGCGAGACGCGGACAAACGATGCGAACGTGATTCCATTGAATGGTGGTACGAGGGCCGTGGAATCTCCGCTTATTCCGGCGCCAACCTCGTAATCGCTCAGCTATGAATTATTTAGGCGTAACGTGAATCCCCAAGCGGCGAGAAAAACTTTAGATCGTTTTTCTCTTGCGAATTCGAGGCGTCGGACGGCCGTATGGAATTTGAGCCAGTTTGGCCGTATACCAAAATAATCGCGGCGATGGAATAAAAATTTTTAGTCAAGCAGGTAAAACGAGCTACGAGTTCAATGAAACTCGAAACACAAAAGACCCGGCTGAATAGGCCAGAATAAATTCCTAAACGGCGTTAATCACAGCGAACGCTGGCTATGTCCACGAACTTCCGAGATGTAACTTTTTTAATTAGCGTTCAAATTGCGCTTCCTTTATTAACAGGCGCATGCAAATTCTCGACACTTTGCATGAATCTGCCAGGGAATTTTAAGCAAATATCACTGGCCCTTTAATCGACAAAATCCGACGTCGGGAAACAGACAAAGATAGAATGCAAATTTTCTTCTTTTTTTTCTTTGCCCTTCCTGTATTTCCTCCGTGATACGCGTTCCCAACTTTTAATTATATTTCACGCGGTACACTAACCGCGGTGGTTGCGTAATACCTCGGGAAATGAAAAAGACAATCACGAGTCGAGAACATGTAATTCATCTCGAAGGACGGAAACATTGTTTCGCACGACGTGGAAAGTGAACGTCGATCGATCAGAAGAGTCGATTACACGCCGCTGCTTGCCGTTACTTTCAACACAATTCTTCGCTTAAATGAAAAATTCCTCTGTTGCCACCCGGCGAGAAAAAATGGCCAAAGGTTGATAGAAGCTCGCAGAGGAGCATCGGTGTTGCGGCATTAAAATTCTCCCAGCTCGCGAGGAAGATTAAACGGCTGGAAAGTTGCTTCGTTGCGCGTGAATGAAATTGTTTCTGCGGAGAATAATTAATTATGAATAATTCCGTACGATCTCGGACACATTGGTACAGTCACCGACTTAAAGGCGTAATAAAATATATCAGAAAATGTATAAACAAGCTTACATTGTATGCAGAGGCAAACAATGATACAAGAAAATTGGCTCTTAGCCTGTTAGAAACCACGAAGGAAGGTTGGTGCACGTTGTGCACCAACGTGAACCGTAAGGCGACAAATCCATTAATATTCCTCAGGCTACGTGGTACGTAAACGAGGATCGTCCTTGATCGAACAGCCTGATGGCAGGCAGCGTGCAGGCTGTGCATCATCTGCTCGAGACAAGACTATTGTATAGTGCGCTCAACATTCTCCCAGTATTTCATCGATACGCGTTCGATTCGAAACATCGATAAGCAACTTGTTCCGCGAGCTTGAAAGTATTTATCAACTGCTATTCTAGTAATAGAATTCCAAATCGAATTAGTTTAAACGTTGATGCTCCTTTTAATCTTAAGCTCGGGCTTTAACTTTGGTATTAACCTTTATAATTAATGTCGGTATTACCTTTTAGCTGGAAGTGTAATTTAAAACGGCAAAGTAAAACATAATCCTTGAAACACGAAACTATATTTCTCTGGATACGCTTGAAACTTTTATGATACGTACCTGATCCAGCGAACTTTGTGTCAACGTGTAGTCCGTGGCTTTCAGTTCCTCGGCCAACAGTTTCAGCTTGTTAAAGCTGCTGCTCACAAGCATGTCCTGGCTTCGTGGTACCAGCAGACGAGCTGCGCTGGCTTGTCTCGAAGAGACCACAGCCCGCGGGAAATACTTTAGAACGGCTTTCCTTAGATCCGCGGATGAAATCGGTTGCCGGAATCGTAGAAACGCTACGTAACCTTCGCCAAATCTATGAACAAAAGTGCAAACGAACAAGACGATAAATCCGAGGCTAAAGTAAATGATTAAATATTCGAAAGACGTTGTTCGAACGAAACGCACATCGATCACCGATATCGAAGATGCCATTGACGGCAACGAGATTGAAATACTCAAGCTTGTCTTTAACAAACAGGAATAAAGACAAGAAGCAAATGAGACCAAGAGGAATGTACACGGACGAGATGGAAATAGTCAGGAAAAGCACCGTAACAAATATTTATTGCACTATGCGAGTTCACCGGCAAGTCCATCTATTTGTATTCATTTATATCGGTATACGTATATCAGCATCGATAAATTATGCCGTGAGAAAGGATAGCTTGCACGTCGACTGTTTCTCTGTACAATAACCGTTTCCGAGTAAGTAAAAAGAGCGAGAATTGCTGGAAGAACTTGATGTGCATCGTAGAACCGATTCGACTCTAATCGTAATTTTCTCAAACAAACAATCTTCTCTTATTACTATTGAGATATATATAATTTTATGTACTAGACTAGATTGGCCGCGTAGTAGTGACACACGTATGTGAGTATGAATGTGTGGAAGTATGTGTGTGCGCGGCGTCTCGAAAACCAGATGAATGTAACTGTTCCGTTGGCAGTCTGGTATGGAAGATGGCGAGACGAAGAAAGTGCTGAGACGCGTGCAAATGTATATCGACGAAGATCCTGGAAATCGTTCGTTAAATAAATCCAAAACTATTTTAATATGAATTCTAAGTGTAATCTTAGTGTTCCTTTACTTTTATTTCGGCGATTAAGATCCACAATTCTCAATAATTACCATCAGCCATTAGCTCTTATCTTCGAACGTAATTACCATCAGCCATTAGCTCTTATCTTCGAACGTATCTGAAAAGTATGGCGATTAAACGGCGATTTGAATACGATAACCATATATAAACTGAATACGATAAAAAAAAGTTACAACGTACGAGCAACGATATAGAAGCCGAATATCTGAACGAAATTTCGGCAAGAAGAAGCTGGTTGCAAACAGAAGTTTATAATGTCCTGCGGTAAGTATATATTGCACACGGTATTTCATAGGGGTACACGAGAATATCCTACTGTTTATGCGATGGGCAAAAAATCCGACGGGGACAGGTTCGTTTCTTGCCATCCGACATTCTCCGGAGAATGTGGATGGATTACCACACCGGGGAATACTGTATAAACGTGGTGTGCACACGTGCACGCGAGATATCGTAAATTCTTTGGCGCTCGATGGCGCGACGCAAAGAGAAAATAGGAAGGGGATATAAGAGGGACATTTTCGCCGAGTTACTTCCGGAGGCGAAAGGTGCAGCCAGAGCTAAATATTTATGGCGTGCTATGTTATATTCCGAAAAGGAAGTTAAAGGGGTGGCGCACGCGTTACAAGCGAAACAGAGAGAGGTGGTTGGGGGTTCGTGGCACGGTTGGTAATACGGCGCAGTATCATTGTAACCGAAACGTAATCTCCGACCGGTTTCGTCGAACGGAAATGAAATTTTATGAAATTCCCGGCGGAGGGAATCGAATGCGCGGAAAATGATGGACGAAATTAAAAATCAATTGACCAAAAGGGAGAAGGCGAGAGGGAATGGCAAATAAATTGTCGCGTTACGGATTTTGTCAGAAAGCTATCCGCGAGATGAAACCAACACGAACGATCCATTAGTTGGAACAACATCATTAAAATACGTCGATCGAAATAAATCCTATCCGGATATTCGAACTTGCATATTCGTCCGGAATGATTGAACATTCTGCTGTAACTGTTAATAGTATATTAATGTCGAATGGAACTTTTAAATCTTGCTGTATGTACAGGGACACGAATATGTGAGCAACTAAACGAAAAGCATTATTCGATTAGTGCAAGTATTTATGTGCGTACTTACTTGTGCTTTAAATGCTGTGGCGTCCCTATACATCTGAGACCAGCCTTGGCAAGAATACCGACTCTATTGCACAGATTTTCACACTCTGCCACGCTGTGCGAAGTTAGAATTACGCAACTTTGATTCTTCGTCATATGCCTAATTGTTTTGGCTACCAGATCTTTCGTTGCAGGATCCATTCCACTAAACATAATTTATATAAGTAGAATTAGACTAGGTAGAATTAGAAGAGAGTAAGATTAGAATAGGTAAATGTAAGGAAAGCAGAATACATAGAATTTATAATGATTATGTTTAATTCTAAAAAATAAGATTATGTAGAAAATCGAAAGCCCCTGGTAGCCGGAAGGCAAATTGTAATAAACGCATACATTCCACTAAACATAGAGAAGTAAGGAAATAAGTGGAATATGAATTTTGTGCTTATTAAAAAGGTGCTCTTAATAAACCGTTTTACGAAATACCTCGTTGGTTCGTCCATAAGAACTACGGGCACCGGAGCCATTACGCTCAGGGCAGTACATAGTTTCCTTTTATTACCTCCGCTGAGACTGCTCACTCTCTTGTGCGCGTATTTCAGAAGATCGAGTCTCTTCAGCGCTGACTCGACCGCCTGAAACAAACAATTTTTCACGGGATAATATTAAATTCCTGCAAAAGGGAGTGGCTTAAAAAAGGTTCTTAAAAGAGCAAGTTCTAAAATTCATCCGCGTGGAATTATTTGTCTTAAAACAAGGTGGAAAAAAGGCAAGAACACGTTGAATTTTCACCTGTTTGCCTCTGTATCGTCTTTACGCTATCAGCCGGAAGTTAGAACGGAAAATAATTAAAAACAAGATCCTTGCGCCAGTGAAGTGACGATGGAAGTTATTCAAAGGTCTCCGAGAAAACTCAGAGTGCGAGAATTGGCCGAGAGTTTGAACATAAATCAACCCTTACCTTGGGAACGTTGCTCAACCCACAAACTTCCCCGTGAATCGTTAGACACTGATGCGGACTAAGAAAACCATCCAAACCGTCGCTCTGAGGACAATAACCGATTTCACCGTTGCACAATGGTCCTGAACCGATTTCCTTGCCTCTCAGTATTATCCTGCCCGCTGTCGGTATAATCTCCGTTGTTAACATGCGAAAAGTGGTACTTTTCCCGGCACCATTCGTTCCCAAAAGACCAAAGCACTTCCCTGCTTGCACTCCAATGCTTAAGTTTTGAACGGCTACATTCGTACCATAAACACTTCTATACTCCTTGCGAAGTTTCACTGTCTGCAAGATATCGTCTGACATGCCACCCTCCACCCTCATTCTTTCCTTCGACACGTCGTCATCCTCTTGAAACGCTTCGTACGGGCACCTCTGTCTATTCCAATTGGGAAGAAATCGACACTCGATCATTAAATTCAAAGAGAAAAGAACGGCACCGACGACAGTCAGGAAAACATAATGAAGACCCAATAACTGCCAACCTAAGGGCGAGTGATAAGTATCCATGTGGAATTTTTCTAATAATTGCGCCGTGATATCATTCCGTGATATTTGTACTAGAGCATCACCCAGTACATATTGGGGAAAGATGAGTAAGACGTAGTGCAGGATATCTCGTACATCTTCTGTAGTTTTCGTTTTTCCTAGAATGTCGAGTACCAAAATAGTGGCCAGGGAAGCTACGCCTATAAACGTGTTGACGCAAAAAAGGACCATGTTCGACATGCTTGAATCGTCGAAGGCTTTTTCAGTCAAATGTGAAAATGGTAAAGCTGCCCACCTACAATTTAATAAATTCGATTAATCAAAATTGAATGAACACAGCAGTAAATTGTATACGATACAAACTTACGCAAAGAGGAACAATAATAAACAAATGCCAGGCAAATTGTCCCTAGCAACGTACGCAGGAAGTCCGAAAATTTCGAAAACCACGACAGCCAAAGCAATGGAGCAGCCAAACACCTAAAAGATTCAAATTCAAATTGCCTTGCAATTTTTCTTCTTCTCATTCTCACGAATGTTTCGTTGATCACTCACGAAGAAATCCCAAATTAATACGGTGATCCAGTAAGTGACAGGATGAACGCCAGCAAGAAACAGGATTCTCTTTTCTTCCGATAATCTTTCCCTCACCAATTCTTTCGACCCTTGAGCAGCTACCAAATTGAACGCGAGCAAAAGTACGAGCGCCACGCCAACGTCAGCCACATGCTGCAATCTGAATCGACGTAAATTTCGTACGTTTCGGATCGTTAATATTGAATTAGTTCAGGCGAGAAACGCAACGCGAAATCGTTAAGGAGATTAACAGACAGAAATAGGATTCGAATAATGAAAGCCACGAAATCCGGTTGAAATGTTCAGCGACGCGATTGTATAGGCGCCAGGAGTTAATTAAAAGTAAACGCAACACGCGCAATTTTATTATGCACATTTTCCGCTTCATTTTACCAACATGGTAAGATCAGCGTGGCATGCTAATCTTTTGACCTTAATTGCGTTTGGTTTATCAAAATATAACAGTAAGTGAGAATACGAGTGTTATTTCTTTTTTTTCATTAATATATGGAAATTGGAACTTACAATGTGGTTCGGTTCAGTTGATCGCTGGATAGCTTTAAGGGATGGTTCAAGGTTGTTAGACGACCTTGAACACCTGATGCTCTTAAGATTGCTTCGTTCAATGCGCTTAAATAAGATGGCAACGCATGGTGACCTTTATTGTTGTACCATACAACAAAGAGTGGTTTGTCGTTAGAATGGAACAATGACCATCCTCCATATCTGCGAAATATCATAATTAAGCAAATTTCAATTCATAAAATTAAATTCTTCGATAGTGAATTTATTTTTCTTTCTGCGGTACCTCTTCTCTATGTATTCTTGATGAGTCGACACTATCCAATCTAGAGTGGGCCTGCCAGGTAATACTTGTAAAAGACCTTCAACGGCTTGGGACAAGCCGTGACAAACCTGTTGGCCGTCCTGACATTTACAAGTACCAGTGTCCTAATGAAACAAAAAATATTTGCCGTTGAAGTTTAAATATTCACTTTGCCAGTATACACATGTTTTTAACGTAATTCTGTAAAGGTCATACATTAGGCAATGTTTGCCATGCGCCAGCATAGTCATCCCCAAATCGATCGTGAAGCTGAAGTGATACGTGTTGTAAAAACGAATCGTCACCGTTATCGATGCTAGGAATAAATTTCACGGTTAATATTAACTCCACGTATCAGCAAGCACTTTGCATACCTGTAGAAATAGGTCGGATGTGTGTCATATAATTTCGGCGTAAGAACCAGCGGTGGTTCATCCTCTGATGGAGGCCTGATCAAAGAGAATCCCATAGCAACCGCAACGAACATGGTTGGTAAGAGGAGACCGGCTAAGAATGTCAACCAATCCTTTCTGAAGTGCCATATTCGTTTCTTCAGCAGAGCTTTGATTTGCCTAATAGGGCAGGGACTCAAGGATGGTTCGATGTCAATTAGATCAACGTTTTTGGATACCGTAGGACCTGTTACGAATTACATTTAAGAATTAAACTAACAAAATTAACTAATTAGCAAATATCAATAAAAAATATCATCCTATAGTTGACATCGTCTCACGTACCAACGTTACCCATACTAATAACGCTATCTTGAATAGGTGTTATAATGGACGAACCGCTCTCTGCCCTAGAACACAGATCTAGAAAAACCCTTTCCAAAGTATCACATTCCAAGGAAAAGTGAGAGTAACCCAGATTTCTGCGACTGTCTTCCAAAATCTTCGCAGCTTGCGCGATACTGAAATATAATTTGTTTCTAAAATCTAATAACAGATAGCATCGACCGATAAAGTTTCGAACAATCAACCTACTTATTATTTAAACCATTCTTCCCCTGGAAAGGCAACGTGACGACCACCTCTGTACTAGAAACTTCATTGGTCACCGCATTAGGCACCACTTCTTCGATCACGCTCTTTAAAGCTTCCACCTTTCTTCTTTCGATCGAATTAACATTTTCTTCACGATCGGCAGAAGGGAACGTTACGAGAAGTCTGTATCCACGACCGTGCATCATTTTCAGGGATAACGGAGATCCCGTGCAAAGTATCTTTCCCTTATGCATCACGACGACGGTGTCACTGAGTATGTCAGCTTCGTCCAGATGATGAGTCGATAGAATGACGGTTCTGCCGATCCTGTGTTGATCGATTAGACGCCAGATCCTACGTCTCGCGGCTGGATCCACTCCGGCGCCTGGTTCATCGAGGATCACCAGCTTCGGTGAGCCTAGAAATGCTAAAGCCACGCAAAGCCGTCTCTTTGTGCCGCCAGAGAGCCGGTATACCGGTTCGTGCTCTTGTCTGCCTAGTTCCAAAGAGGTCAACATCCTACGAGAACACATGGCTTGATAACAACAATTGAAATCCAAGAAGATTAAAGATAATCGAAACGGAGTTAGCATCTCGAAGGAGTCGACGGTGAATGAGGATTTATTAATAATGTATATACTAACTCGTTCACGCTTCGTTGCATATCTACATCGTCAGGATGTTTTAGTTTCGCGTAAAACATTAAATGTTCTCTGGGTGTCAAAGTACCGATAAGTACGTTATCTTGAGGGCAGACCCCTATGTCGGGCTTGCAACCCTCTTCGCCGTTCAAACAGATCTCACCCGTGGTCGGAGCCAGCATCCCCGTCAGCATCTTACTGAAAAGAAAGTACACCCTTGAATAACGAGAATGAATTCAAATACCCGCCGCTTACGAATGAAATTATCAAAATCCCTTTAGTCGATGTTAAAGAAGGTAAAGCAGAAAAGATTTTTGTTAGAAGAAATCGTGTTATTCACGTACATAATGGTGGTTTTTCCAGCGCCATTTCTTCCAAGGAGGCTCGTCACCTCACCCTCGTTAAGTTTCAAATTAAAGTCATCCACTGCTAAGACCTCACCCTGGTCTGTGTTGTAGATCTTCTTGACATTTTCAAATCTTACTCCTGTTTGTTTCTCGCTGACTGTCAAGTTACTCGCGTCGCTCTCTTCGTCTGTATTCCATGCAATATAAAGAACACGTATTTTTAATAGGAATCGACAGCGATTTCTTAAGCAAGCTCTCTTATCTTTCATACAGCTTTACCTAATCCTAGGAAAAGCAGATTAAAATATTCATCGAATAAAGCAGATGCTTCCCGCAAAATATAACTTTTCTCTCGACTTCTTTAGATTTCTATTATTTAAAAAAAAAAAAAAGAAAGAAAAAGAAAACAAATCATATTACCTATCGTGAATAGAAGCGAATTCTCTAACTCATGCATCGCATGCAGTATCAGCATGCAATCTATACGTCAGTCACCGAAGAAAGTATATACAGAGACGCGAAACTTGTACAAGACGCGAATATCTGATATCGTTGCATAGTCGGACGGTTTGCGTGGAACTCAAGCAAACATGTGCATAGGTAAACTATCAAGAAGAATTCCTACCGAAACACCCGTTCCATGATGCATCCGAACTGCAACATTGAATAGATTAAGCATTCACGTGTGAATTCCCACTCTCATGGAAGTAGCAACAAACATTTACATATTCAGTGCAAACCAAATATTCGAATAGCTCTTCCCCGTGCAAATTTTACGAAATAGACGGATGGTACCGCGTTTATGCAGATTAGATTACGTTTCACCTTTGGTGTTCTCGCGATATCAAACGATTTAGTAATTTTCCCAAATATCCGTATCGAGCGAATATTCTCGAGTGGGATAAAAAGGTATGCAAGAATAAGACAAAGCCATGAGATAAATGACAATCGAAATATACACAACTGAATATTTGAATAATGCGAACGAAGCTCGAGTGGAATGTAAGAGCACAACGTAACATAGCAAAAGCGAGAAAGAAAAAGAAAAGCTGAAATATCGTGCAAGAGCGAAAGAGCGAGCAAGTGCGATACCTTGGTAAGTGGCTGAAGGGTGGAGAACGTCGTTAGTGAAATAGAGGTTGTTGACGAAGGCGAGGTAACTTGGTCTGCCATAGAGAGAACGTTTATCGGCCCACCATAAGCTACGGGACCTCAAATCGTGAAAGCCCCTGCCTGGAAAATTATTCGCCAATGCTCGTCCGTTTCCAGAAACTCACCAGGTCATCGAACTTCTCTCGGGGACACGCACCGTCTTTTCTTTTCTTTGCGAATGTTTACCGCATCTCGAGACCGCCCTCCTGGCGTTTCTCTTTGCAGCATCAGTGGCGATTATATGGGGGAGGAGGGAAGGTTTTGGTGAAATCTGTGCGCAAATTTGCGACGATGCGAACGAGAGGTGCGTGTAAACGTGTAGAATTCGTAACAATATTCTTTTCGTCGTTTCATTGTGAACACATGGAGGATGTCACTAATGAAACGAAGTAGTATCGTGAATGTTGAATAGATATTTTCAAAAATATTCTATTATATCTAATAACATCGAATAATATTATAACGATGTTATGTTTAACCTTAATGATACCATCCTTGTGTTCTTTTTCCATGTTTTCTTCTTCTATGTTTAGTAATGGTTATAGACAATAGAGTAATAAATAAAAGGGGTACACAGACAGGATACATAGAAATATCGAATAAATTCGCGACATTGCATGCACCAGAGATTCCAAGTGGTCTCTCGAAATCTTCGGAACAAATATCATGTTAGAAAGTTATTTGGATAACGTTGTTGCGTGTAGTTGTATAGATCCAACGAATTTTTCAATGCGATAAAAAAAAAAGGAAATAAATAAATGTAAGAAAGTAGAACAAGTTGTAGTAGACTCTAAGCTGGTGACACCTCCACCGAACGATGAAAGATCGATTCTACAAAGTTCTAAAAGTTCACGTGAGTTCCGTTTAGAGAGGCGAAGAAGTTTAACAAGTTTCTACCTGAATTCGTATATCTGGCGACGAGATAACCGATTAAGGCATAAAGGCAGCCGTCGAAGGCGATCATTAGGAGCACCCAACCCAAAGACATCGAATCGCCGGGGCTAGATTCCTCCCACATCGCGCTCCAAGTTAGTCCGATGCCTTGAACTTCCTTCCTGGCCGCGTACAAGCAACCGTAACAAAAGCTGGTCGACATGCTGAGACACTAAGGAGAAAGGCGTTGATAAATCGTTCTCTTTGCTCGCAGAATGTGCACGGCATTAACATAATTTTATAGGAAATGGTGGTTTTATCGTGAAACCTAACACGGACGCATCGTTCGAACGTGTTATTTGTCACGGAAATGCTATTGCTACGCTAGGTGGCGATAACTTACGATGAGAAGCTTATACCCGAGACCAATAACGGCCTCCATAGCAATGACAATGACGTATGGCATGAATGTCAGCAAGAACATAACCACGGTAGTGATCGCGGCTAGACTCGCTGAGCTGCACATCGTTGAAATCATGTAACTGAAAATTTGTTTTAGTAGAATAAAGCACGTTGATGATCAATTAATTTGATAAAACTTACCAGAAGGTTACGATAGAGAACGCGTAATCGACCATCATGATTAAAATTAAAGAAGCATCAGATTTTGGTAAAATTTTTCCGGCAAGCAGAACTGTTGCGATAGAGAACAACACGATTAAGAGTTCTATAAATGTCGTAATGAACCAGGCGACAGTGTTTCTCCAAGGTTTCAATCCCATTACGCTCATTACCTAGAAACGGAACTATGGAATTAACTAATGCCATTAGTTAACTGAAATGTTAATGTTGTGATATTTCCCCTGTTACCATTGCATTTTGAGATTCTCTTTCCCACACAATATGCCTGACAGCTGCTCCAACACACATCATTAGCGCAAAAAAGAAACAAACTTGAATACCTTGAGACTCGTAGAGAGTTGTTTGAAAGCTACGTGATACATAAAATGATTATTATTATTATTAAAATTGTTTGTAAGTATAAAAGAAGGACAAGAGATTATACACACGGTACGTCTTCCCAACAAGGATATGGCATCTGTTGCGTCATAGTTTTCCAATCCTGATCTTTCTGAGTTTTCGTTCTTATAATTGCTCGATCGATAGAGTCCTGGAGCTGTACGAATCCTCTCATATATCTCAGGTGTTCTATAAAACTGCTCTCCGGACCAGGAATCCAAAATTGATTTTTTAATCTCTTCGTGGACTGCACGTAGTCCACGTCCATTCGAATTTTGTACACTATATTATCGGGCAATTCATGCTGCAAAGATCTGCTAGATCTCTTTGGGGCTTTATCCAAAAAGACAACACCGGCTAAAAATTCTCGCGTTTCCATCAGAACCCGTGCTTTCGCTTCCATTTCCTCCTCGGACCGAAATCCTCTTATTCGATCTACGAGCACGCACTCCAATAAATCATTCAACATACCAACCATCGTTATCAAACGTTTGGATCTCTTAAGTCGCCACGAAACCTCGCTGAGATCCATATCGGTGAAATCCCCTGGAAGAGGATGAAACATTTTAGAAAAGGCACGTTCGCGTCTTTGTTTTGCAAAAGATGGAGTGAACCGATCTATTCTATTAAAGAAATCTGAATAATCCAAGAATACATAGTTGTTTGTTTTACCTTTTCCTAGGACAACTTACCGCCTTCGAAATTGCTTCCGCCAAATGATCTAATGGCGATTTTTATAACATCTGAGGACATTATGTCTCGAAGCTCTCTTAAACTGTCGCTCATTTCGGTAAGATTCGCCAATGAGATTAAAGTTTTCTCGAAACTGTTCATCAATACGCCGAAGTGTTCCATTTCCACGAATGTTTTATTCGCTAATGTCATTACATTGTTGATTACTGTGGTATTAGGAGCATAAAGTATTTTACCACGTAGTAGAGGTTTCACGTAAGACCATATAATTTTCCCGCCTCCCATGGCCACAACACCTTTGTAGGTGTTTCTGCAAAATTCAGCTGAACAGAACAAAATTCGAAATTTCAATGTTTTAATTTATAATTTTCAATTTTCAAGTTCGAAAGTTCGAAAGTTCGAAAGCAAAAATTCAGAGGTACAAATTTTCAGTTAACTGGTGAAAAATTTCCAATTCAAAATTAATATCTGTCGTTTGATCGATTACACATACTGGGTAAAGAATCGAGCTCAGCCTTATCGAAATCTTTGCTATTATCCTCGATCTTCGAGATGATTTTGTACAAATCACCGTTATCAGAGACCATCGGTTGCCCGCACAGCATCTCGCTAGAATCTTGAAGGAACTTGGAAGCTACGAAATGCATTTGAATATTTATTAAATACGCAAATTGCGTTAATTTAATTCCAAAATTTTGCATAACTTACTGGAGACTGTCTGATCCGGTTCTTGCGCATCTGTTTCCAAGGCTTGCGCCGTTGGCATTCGAGAGGAAAGTTTGTCTTTGAAGAATGGCAATAACTCTGCGGCCACTCCAAGATTATTCAGTACCATTTTTCCCTCTGTTTCCGTCAAATTTGCGTTGGCCAATATATTTTTCACGTTCGCGCTCATAAGCTAAAATAACGAACTAGATTAAACTCGAAATTTTTTATCGTCAATGTTTGTTCATACGATTATACTCACAGTCTTAAAAATATAATCGAAATTTAAATTTTTAATCAACGTTATGGTCACGTTCTGTGTCTGCGAGTCCTCGAACTGGCAGATAGCGGAGCTGACTTCTTCGGCGGTGACTCGACTGCTATTAAAATTCAACATTTCACTGAGTTTCGTCGGGGAGCAAATGATTTCCTTCAAACTGAGAGCTCTTCTTTCTTTCATGAAAACAGAAATCATATCTATCTTTGCTTGGCTCAGCATCAACGCTACATTATTGGAAATTCCGATCTTATCCACCAAATATGACTTTACCACATCCCAGTTGTCGAACATATCTCTGATAACGTCTGAAAATAAAAATATCGTCGCACCACCGAATCGAACGTCACAAGGCATTTCTTTCGAGAGGAAACACGCAATGAGATCATACATTTCATATCGAGCAACCCTAAATTCTTGAAGATATCCATCGACTGAAACGCCACGATTATTCGATAAACGTCGTCCATCACGTATTGATCCTCGATGAACGGCTTAATATCTTCCGCTATCTCTTTCATTCTAAAAAAAAAAGGAAACGACATAACAGAACCTTTATACGATGTCGGATTAAAAGTGAACGTCAATATTCGAAAACTGAAGCAAGTTTCAAACAACTTCGGTCACTCAATGTCTCGCGTCCAATCTCATTTCTACGATCAAGACATTCTTACCCGTCGAAAAGCTTGTCCACCGTCTTATCCTTCAGGATATTAACCACCCCGTCGACGATATCAGGAACTCCTAAGACGCTCGAGACATCCTGGAAGTCTATTTTACTGGCGACGTCGAGCAGATTGCCGCTCTCTCCGATAACGATGGACAAGTGCCTCAGGATCTCCTTCAGCCACGTTAAATTCCACGTGGCGTCCATTTGCCACTGTTTCAGCTCGCGATAGATCCGATCTAGATCCAGACTTACGGACAATCGATCGGCGATCTCCATCAACGTGTGGTAACCTAACGCTTTTTGATCATACTGGAACACTTTTCCTGCTTTCTTTGAGCTCAGATAGTTGTACAAAACCGTCCGATTCCGACATTCTAACTTAGTCCGACAAAGAGACCCGTTTCTGTCGTTCAGCAACGCGTTCACGTTAATCATCGCCCCTGGCAAAAACGCCTCTACGTCATCGACGTCCGACGCCTTTACCACGTCGCGCAGGGGTTTCCAGATCGGAACGTACTTCTCCGCCATTTTGGACAACGTTTCGATGTTCTTGTGATTCCGGCCCGTGTCCAGGATGAACACGTTTTTCTGCAGGGAGTCCAACACACCGAGAACCATGGTCACATACCTTAAATGAAACTTGTTTTTATTATCACGTCGTGTAAAAAGAACGATCGATGCGTAAGACACTTATCAATTAATCTAAGGGATACAGATATATCTCGAATGCTTACAGTCCGGGTCTAGAATAAGCGGGACGTCCTACGAATCTATGAAAACACTCGTTGATCTCGTCGCTGTAAGTCTTGTTTTGAAAATTCATTAGAATCTCGGCGATATGATAAAATGTGCCTTCCAAAGTTGTCAGAAATTCGTTTCTATTTCGTTTGACGTTTAGATACTTGTAATTCTTTATCTAATAAGAGAAATTTCAAATTATATGGATATGTTTGAAATTAATTAGTTGAATCGTGATCGTAGAGTTATAAATAAAATAAAGCATTACCATACTAGCAGTTTTATTCCAATAGAAATCATGCATTAATATATCGTGAATCTGCGATATGTTCAATTGAGTCAACTGACATAAGAGTTTCGCGTAGTGCTGATGGTTCAGCAGCTGAGAATTCAGAATTTCAAGGGGGAACGTGACGCACCAGGAGCAGTCTCTGAAAGAAAGTTTCCTAATAAGCGGCTGCAGCGTTATAAACAAATTCCGCAAATGCTAACAAGGAACCGTAGCTTACTCGGTATTCCCAGCGGAATTTAAAATGTTCCTAGCGGTCGTGAAGAGCTTTTTCACCACCAAGTGAGCGAGCGCTTTCAGGTCCTGAAGGATAATTTTCTTCGTAAAATCCCTGACGCTTAGATAAACGACAATTTCATTGAAATTTTAGCGCTTACCTCCTTTTTATAAAGCGTCAAAAAATCCTCGAAGGTGCCTTCCTTGAAGGAAATCCACCATGCTGGAACCTTCGGGTCCTTGAAACCTTCCGAAGCAGCTCGAATTATCGTCGATTCGATATGTTGCAATTTTTCCAAAAGATAAATCTCGTCGTAGTTTCCCGACCAATTTCTTGCTATTCGACCTTCCTGTAAACGTCCGCAAGTTTTAACAACGTCACGCGGCTAGCAACGTCATCATCAACGTTGTGAAAGTTGTATAGTCTAGTCGAACGTTGTACCTCGTACTTGACATCAAGGGGCAATATATCGATCAAAGTCAGTCGTCCATCGGCGAGAACGATCTTTTGGCAAAAGTTGGTAATGCTTGACAAGAGGACCTTCTTCCGCACGAAGCTGGGCACAATCAAATATTTGTCGATGTCGCAAGGGTGTAGCTTGCCAAACGAGAGTTTCTCCACGAAATCGTTCAATCTCTCTGACTTCACGAAAGTGTCAACACCGGTGACGATGAGATTCGGCAGGTCTTCTATTAGAGTTAAGATAGGTTTCACCCTTGAATTCTCGTAGAGGATCCGAAGCTTTTGCCAAATATCCCCGCCGGCCAGTAGCTCGATCGTAGCGTCTAGAAGCTGATACCCTCGGGCCAATTTCGCCAGCGAATTTGTCGTTCCGTTTAATTTCGTAGGATTTTCGTTTTTCGCAAATTTCATGTACCTCTCTATCCAGGTTTGACCAGCTTTGCCAATGACAGACCAGGTGTCGTTCGATAAATTCCTCCAGGTCGTCGCATTGAAAATTTTCGAGTTTATAACGTAATCAGACTTTTGTTCTGCGTGAAAGCGTAACGCTGTGTCCAACAGTTTGGTAACGGAGGCGCTTAAGCGTGTTGATTTTGACATGGTAGTTGTTTGACCGGTCACAAAAGACTGTTGAGCATTCATGGTATTAGAGGTAATAACAAAAACGATATATTCAGTGCTATTTCTATGATTTGGCCCTACTTACGTAGTATTCTGCACTGGTGACACCTTTCAGTAATTGGTCGGGATCGAAAGAACATATTTCTTTTATGAATCGAGTTCTGTTCGGAGTGGACCAATAGTTCGAGTTAAACCGAAAGCTGCACATGGTTTTTCTTACATCCTCGTACGACATGAAAACATTTATCGGCGAATTGAGCGTACTAAGCGTAACCACTAAAGCGATCGTTTCTTCAGGATGATTGTCGAGGATCTTCAACAACTGGCGTGCATCGCCATTTTCAACGAAATCCCAAATATTTAAATGGTTATTTTGTGTCTTGATATTTTTTATCGCGTTCGTGATATGATTCAAACCTTCGGCAACACCCTCTATAAGGATTCTGTAGTTGCTCCTTTCCAACTTCTAAAACGTCATATTAATCAGAAAAGTATTAACGAACTTCTGAAAACTTGAATACTTAACGAAACAATTGATTCACCTTCTGGCTATTGGTCTCCGTATCATAAAATTCGAGAACATGCTTGAACTTCTGAAGAGTAGTTGAAACATAAGACATGGAAAATGGCACCTCGATTTCTATCTTCTTCTCCTTTATATCCTCCATCAACCTCAAAACTTCAAACGCGAAATCGTATATGTCACCTATTACCGTGATCATGGAAGATCGATATCTGTTAACAGGTTGCGTCCATACATTAGCCTCGACCATGTACAGGTCAGTGTAAGCGTTGAAGTTATCAGGATCAAGGTCACAGGTGAAATTCTTCAAGGTTCTATATTCCTCGGGAGTAAAGCCAACAACAGAATCTGACCACCATTCGAATAATCGAGAACAAGTGATATCAGTATCTGGTGAATTGAATATGCGATCACCGACATTTGAATTCATCAATCCATTGACCAATGTGACCATAACGTACGGTAGCTTATTGTAATAAATCGAGATGGGTGATTTATCGTCGAATCCCAACAACGGAAATAAATTCAGTTTTATAGAATTTTCCGAAGGCTTTAACAATACAGCTGGAAACCAAGAACAAGTTTTAGTAACTTTGTGAAAACAAAAGACTCGCAACAATTTTACAGACTATTTGCTACTTACCATTGCGCAGAATGTTAGTTGCGGTCTGTATCATTTTCTGAACAGAATGTGAGACAAATTTTACTAGGACGAGAATGCGATTCTCGATGGAGATTGTCGGATTCCAGAGATTGCTAGCCGAAAGATTACTTTGAAAGGCCATCACTGTCTTGTCTAATTCGTAATCAACGTATTCAAGGGTGTTTCTAAATCATAAATACATAAAAAATATATTCTCCTGCGAGCTTCTTTGATACTAATCGGCAATAATGACTCTCACTTGGCATCGTTCTTCATATCCGGCCACCTCTTATCAAATATGTTTTTAACTTCCGGCACGAGAGACGTCCAATGCTCCCAGAAATGCGGTTGTTCCGCCAGGATAACATGTGTGGCGTCGTTAACCAATTCATCGAGCTTCTTAGCCTGCCGGCGGAATGTTATGTAACCCAAGGTCCAATTGAAAGGCGGAGATTGAACAATTTTATCGTGCTGCAACTGACATATATTTCGTTGAGTATCACCAAACGTTAAGCGAAAAGAATAAATTCTAAATAAATAACATACGATCTTCCTTGTCTTCGCGAACACGGGATGCTCGTTCCATTCCTGAATAAACAAAGCTGGATTACATGATATTCTCTCGATCTCTCTGATTATTTCGCGAGTGCCTTCTCGCATCTCCATGGCAGATCCGGCGCTCTCGTTTCGTACGCAAGGCCAATGTTCTTCTCGCGATTTGTAATCATCGAGAACGGATATCTGGCGAAAAAAAACACGTATTTTCAAGAATTTTTAAACGAAATTTAGGTTCGAAATATAAAATGCTCGAATTATATAGCTTACAAGATGAATCGGTTTCATAGTTATGATGTCAACGACATCGAGGATCAAAGGAGATAAATTTCGTAGAATGGCGTTTAAAAGAATTTCCGTCTGCGGCATGTCCTGCAACAGCTCGGAGAGCTTCGCTCTATACTCGTTCTTCTGAATTTGATCAACGATCTTCTCGATATACTCAAAGATCACCGAGGACGCCCAGGCAATCGCGTGCGTCTCCTTCCATACTCCTTTCGACGAGAAAAGAGAGCTCTCCATCAATTTGAAGAACTTGCAGATCAAACCTACGCTGCAGAAAGATGTAACGTGTCACCAAAGTAAATATCTGCCATTTAAAAGGGTAATGAAAAAGGAAAGAGAACGTTATTTTTGTTGCTTGCGTACCTCATCTCGAAAACATCTTTGGCGCCAATATCGATGCTCCAGGATGTTTCAAAAGCCTTCCTCGCCTTTTCTAATCTAGTCATGTCGTAATCTGGATCTTCTTGATGGACCAGAGTATCGATGTATCGATAAATCTCGATCGTTTGCGTGTTAAAGTCTGTCCAATTGAACGGTTCTTTCATCGAATTGAAATGAATGGTATCGCTATAACGAACTTCGTCCATTTGCTCGATATTCGACATGTCAATTTCCAAGTCCATTTGTACGGATTTCGAGATATGACAAATCAACGCCTTCAGCACTGTCTCGTTCGAGTCTTTTGGAAAATTTAGTAAATCCGGCGGATCTGGATTCGTACAGTAGATATCGGTAAAATTATCATATTCTAGAATTTGTAAAGCCTGTAAAATAGAAGAATAGTTCCTTTTTCTGTAAACAAACTATGCTGATATAGCGTGTATACTTTTGCGTGTGAATGGTAGGTCTCGCTGTAACCGTTCTTCCGCAACATTTCCTCGCTACCGGAAGAAATGTCGATTTTATGAAAGAGTTACGCGATTGTTTACCAACCTTATCCTTATCCGTTACGGTCAAGTAGAACGATTCGACCAGCTCCATTTTCCTCTGCCTAAATTCATCGATCCAGCTCGTAGGATCCTTCTTCAAGTTATACAAAATTATCTTCGCGAGTATGTTCATCTTCTTCAGATCAGGCTCGATAATAATATAAGTCACGCTACGAGAGCCGATCATTTTCGCTATGCTCAAATGGATCGCCAGACTAAAGAGAAACAAAGTAAAAGTCGAGTAAATAATTTTTACAGGATGTTCTCTTCTCGGGTGTGAGAGGTCGAAGAAATATCTAATGGCGCCACTCACAGGTTCAATCTTCCTTGAGATCGAGTTTCTTCGAAAGCTTCATACCATCTTTCGTCAAATTTGAATACGGACCAGTCGGGGTCTGGCCTTTTTGGCGATGTCAAGTACGATATCAACTCCTTTGTGTTGCCGACTAGCGAAGTTAGATTCGATTTCTCGACGCTGACCACCTTGTGCAATGCCATATTGAACACCGTGAATAAAGAGTCGCTCACCTAACAACGTCACCCCCGGATTATGAGAACACGTTTCGAGAATCGTCCACGTCAATACAAGCGAAACACAATGCTTACTATGCTTTCAAAGTTCCGAAACTCGAAACTTTCGTACACGTCCCAGATAAACTTCTTTCCGGCATCGCTGCACAGCAGTTCCTTGACGTGTCTAGCTTCGTTTTTGCCGTCTATGAAAAGCTCAAAAATTTCGTTCACAGTCCCCTCCTGACAAAAGAAGTCGTCGGGACTTGTGCGTTCAACTGCATCCACGAATTTCTGCAACATACGCAAGAATCGTTTCGTGCGTTCTACAAGCGTGGAAGGTTATACAAAAATAATTAAAACGCTTGCCAACCTCAACGAAGTCCAGTCTGGAGAATGATTTAACGAGTTTTCGATAAAAATTTGGATCGACGTTCGTTAGCAATTTTTGCACCGTGTCTTTGTGATTTATGGAAATATCGTAAATTCTGTACTGAACGTCCTCGTGAATAATGGCAGCATGGTGTAACATTCTGACGATCGTTTGCATGAAGGACAAAATGTAACTCAACGTGGCTAGGATGTTATCCGATAAAAAATCTCTGAGTCCGTCTAGAATTTCAGCTGGTCTATTAAAAAAAAAAAAAAAAATCATTTCACAACACATACGTAGATACATTAAAAAGAAAAATACTGTGTAAGTAATGGAAAAATCTCACAGCTGAATTTCGTCCTGGTGGCCGTCCAAAATCTTTTGCATCAATTTCGCGCCATCGTGCAGAATGGCGATACTCAGATCTAGAATTTGAGTAAGATTGTCGGGATTCGCCATGTTTCCGTACACAAATCGTGCTGTGCTGGACAAACGTTGCACTATCGCGAAAAGGCTGTCGGAGGAGTCGATAGTTTGATCCTCCACCATCCGTTTCGCTAGATCCAGTAACTTTTGCAATCTCAAGAACGTTCGACGGACGGTCGCCCAATCACGCTCCATCGAGAACACCGGATCCAAAACTTGCAGCGATTTATTCACGCTGCGATTAGATTCGAGAATATATTTCTTTTACTTCCTATTTATTTATTTTGTAATCTTTTCTCGTTCGAAAAAGATTCATTTAAAATTAAAATTCGACCGAAGCTACTCACAAAGTTAGGTCAATTTCTTTGAATGTGACGTTCTTGAACACCATTATCATCTTTGGTACCCATTGACGTAACTTTAGGTACTGCGGAACGAACTTCTTCGTGGTTTGGAGGTCCAGAATCGTTTCGACCGCTTTCCTTAAGTCGTCGAAAAAATCATAGTCGCGAAACTTGGCCATTACACGGTCTATCATTTCCAGCAAACCGGAGAAATCAAGATGCTTGGACAGACTCTCGAGCATGTTGGGTATCATCGCCGAATCGATGTCACAGAGAATCTTAGAAATCTCCAAGTAATTCTGCTCGTTAGGTAGAATCAGATACTTCTTCAAAATTTCCGGAGAACAAATCGCGCCGTCGATATTAGACGAACCGAACGCCTCGATAAGCTGAAAATCGGTCCAATAAAAGTTGAAAACAATTGCATCGGGATGAATTGATCGATGAGTTCAGTTTGTCTGGCTTAATAGTACGATACTGACGTATAGTAACTTTATGGACGAGTTAAACAGTTCGTCGATCAATCCGCTTCGCGCGTACGGCATCTGAACCCTAAGAAGATTCTTGATTTCCTCGTGGTTGTTGAACAGATCGCCCAATCGAATACCACGATCTAGTTTGACAAATTCAATACTCGATGCAAATTCCTGAATACCCACGATAGTAAATGAGGTGTTGAGCAACTCGTGCATACGTACCGAACAGCGCTTTGATTTCTGGTCTAGTGAGTATCTGCGCCATTGATTTTAGAAGCTGGATGCTGTTCGGTAACGTGCTGATAGCGGAAAGAATCGTTTCGTTGCCGAGCATCGGCTGCAATTCTACCACTAACGGACCTAGACTGTTGTAAAAATAAATCTTCTTTACATGCTTCTATCGAAATGAAATAAGTGAACGGACTTAAGAATCATTTGGTGCCGCTTCGACTTTCGCTATTTTACTTTAACGATTCACAGAGTTATTTAAATCAACGTTTAAAATAGTATCGAGTCGTTAGACATTATAAACGGTTACAATGATTAAAAAGAGAAAATGTTTAGGAAAGAAAATTCTGCAACTTGCTGAACTAACGTGGCATTTTTGTAAGAAGGAACTTCTTCGTATTCCGATAGAGGATCACAGGGATTTCCCACGCTGCAAATGAAACTTTGAACGAATGGCAGCAACCCATCCTGCGGCATAGACCTCGCAGGAAATTGGCAAGTTGGATAATACTTCGGATCTACATTGTCGCGAATCGTGTATAGGATCATGAACACGACCACAGGCCATACGAATACCAGAGCCAATATACCCTATAAACATTGAAGTTTGTGCATGTATTTTACATATCGTTTCGCTACTTGTAACTTCGTGTAAATCTCAAATTATGTAACTTTATAATTATAATTACCGGTTGACGTTTTCGGACGATGTAATTCTTCCACAAGAGAAGCCCAATTTGGTCGACCCTCATCGCGAGAGCAGTTTAGATCTGCAAAATGAATCGTCAAAATACTTTACTCTTTATCAATGCTTTCAATTCTTCGGAATATTTTGTCCCTCGGATGACTCCGGTTTTTATCTTCTCCGCTGCGGAGTCTTACACAGCCACACACCGAAGTATTCGTAGCTTTATTATCTATAACACATGCACGAGTGTTTCGTTCCGGAATTCGACGCTACTCGCTTTGTTCACCTAACAAGAAAACCGAGATTCGTCAAACAGCTCTTTCGGTTACGTAGTTGACTTTCGTGGAGATTTCGAAAATGTCGGTGGAGAAGGATCGATGGTTGGATACATTGGAAAAGCGAGTCGCGATCCATAAATCAAGATTGAACAGGCGAAACCGATCGCTGATATATCGCGTAGGGCAGAACAAATATTTGAAGAGCGTAACAAGCGCGTCTGTCGATACATCGACAACCGGAAATGCGCTTCACTCTGTCGCGTGCTGCTCCGGGATCCATTGCGGGGAAACGGAACAATGAACCGTGCGGATTGCTTTTCGTACGAAAAACGAAGTCGATCATTCGTACGTGTCGTATCAACGTATGGATATCATAGTTGCACCTTTATTTCTGGCCGAAATAACCAATTGAAAGTGAACAAGCTTGGAGCGTTTGATGTATTCTAATTTCCAGTGAATAAATTATGGCTGAATATTAAATGAGAATTTAATGCGTGTCGCTTGGAAAAGCACGAAATAATCTCCAGCTTTGACATCGAAGCTTCTAAATTTGATTTGAACCCGTTATTATCATTAATATGTACGCGCCAACGTGTTCTCGTTTGTACGCTGTTCATTTTGTAGGTACATAATAGGTGCATGGTATCGGAATATGTAAAATGTAAAAAGAGCGGCTAATTTATTTGTCAATTTTCTCTTAATTTCACCGTATTTTGTTCAAAGCGTCGTTTCAATTACGAAATTAATGTATGGATCGACCGGCGCGCTACTTTATCGCAAATTGATATGAAATTAAAATGCTAGACGAAGGTCGTCGACTATTTATAACTACTGTTGGATCTTGACATAATGGAAAGATATCGAAGATCACAGATTTATACTGTACAATGTAGTTAAATAACATTTCAGGAAATCATCGATTTACGATAGACAAAAACCGATTAATGACAGTCGAAAATAAATATTTTAAATGGCGTGTTGGCAATTACGATGGTTGACCTCCAAATTGAGTAGCATAGTCACACATGCACACGCACACGAATTCTCCAGCTCTTCCGCATACTTATCATTATTCCAGTTCAAGATTACAAAGATGCGAAGTAATTATTGATTTGGAAATACGTACCATCTTCACTCTGTCATTTGTATAATCGCTGGCATTCGCGGATGCATTTACGAAAATTGTCGGGAGCTTCTCGAATGTCATAACAATGGGAAAGATAAGAAAAAAAAAACAAATTCTTTCGCGTGAAATTATAAAACGATTAATGTCTAATGCAAGACACTGAAGCAAAATCAAAGTGCTCGTGTGTCCGTGAAAGCGTAATAAAAATGTAAATACAAATAACAATCCTCCGATAAGTAGAATACAAATTTTCATGATGTAATCCAATGCAGCTGCGCGTAACTATAAATTTACATTCTGCTGTTTCACTTGATGCTCGTTGTTTGTTAAATCAGTGATTATAAAGAAACTTGTTTGAAGGGAAACATTCCGGTCGGTGGATGGTTTCATTCATTAGCACGTCACAGATTGTGTGCACTTTCGCTGCGTTTGTAAATTATGTCTCTCAGCTACGTTGCACAAGCGAAACGCGTGATAGATCATGTAGGCTCTGGAGAATATTTTTTACAGTATTGATTAGAATATTGATGAAGTTCTAGTTTGATCTCCTCCTTCGAGAGGTAACGATAATAGCAAAGAGGATAACGTATTTGCAGAAGATTGAAGAGACACCTGACGTAAGAGAGGAAGACCAAACTTGGACAAAGAAATCGCAATTTACCTTCTTCGATATTAGATAATCGATAAAACGATCTTCGATAAAACAAAGGCATTGTTTCGGTAAGATTCAATAAGATTCAGTAGGATTAATGAAGAGAAAAAAATTCAAGGAATCTTTGAAGGAGAATCTAAAGATACGCGCTTAATGAACGTAATTCTATCATAATCGTTTCCTTAACCTCTTCCGTTTCAGACACCTGACAACCTAGAATTTACTTCACAGTGTAATTTAAAGTTCTAAATAGTAGAGTATTGCTAGCAAAATCGATTCTTTATTATCAAGATGTTCTCGATCATTAAGGATCACGAGTTGCACGGTTCAAAGTCGACGAGCCGACGCGGAACGATCGAAAAGACAATGATTAACACTTTTCACGATACGTCAAAATCCTTGCGTGCTAATTGTCAAAAGTCCATACATAGTAATATCACACGTACAAGTAACAGAAGGAAATCTTTGAATACGAAACGCGTTTCACAACTTTATGAGAAATGCTTGCTTCCTTTAAGATAATTTAAACGTGGTGCATCATGAAGCGTTGAAAGCATGTTTTGATCAATGATCGATAACAAAAGGCAATAGAAAGAAACAGCAGCATCGTTTTTCTCAGAAGCCTAAACAGATTGCAGCGGAGCGTAGCTGGTCGAACAAGTTTCCCGATGTCATAACAGCGCGTAGACCTTGCCAATGGGAAAAGAAGAATAAAGGAATCTCGGAAGGGAACGACACTGTATTACTTACATTCCTCAACGTGTACACCGCAACGAGAACAACAAGTTGGAAGCTTGTTTTACATCGATAGACGGACGAGCCGAATCGAAAAACTGATTGGTTGCATTTGCAAAGCGCTGTTCGAGCATCGCTCTCGAAAATTCTGACCGTATGTGAACCGAAAGATATTTGCTGAAAGGGCAACAACGATCGAGTTACGAACAGGAAGCCGGATATATCGGAATATGAAGCGTTTGCGCAGAACAAAAAGAAGGAGAGACATTCAACAAAGAGAAAACGCTGTCGACGCCATCAAAACAAACCGCTTTGACGCGAACCTCAGGCCCGATCGTTTTGAATTTCAATCGAACGTTTTACATTTCATGCTGGCACATAATTTCTGAAGCGTTCCGAGAAGGAGGCAACCAGGGCCCCCAAAGATCCAGGAAAACATGAATCGGTAAACAACGCGGTTCTCCTTGCGTAACAATGCAATCACGTTGTAGTACTTACGTTTACTTGCTCGGTAATTTCCTCCGAATCGCGCAGTTCGATATATCAACCTTCGTTGCTTGATCGTCGAACAAAGCACAAGCCCGAGGCTTCAATATCGTTCGAACCTCATCGATCTGACGGTTTCCAAATTCGTGAAAATGCAGTCGCCAATAGCGCGTGTTGTCAACACACCGTCGTCGGACGCGGGAAAAAGAAAAACACGGAAGAACGTTGCACCGATCGTTGGTCTTACGATTACGTCGATTGAAACGAGCAACTTCGTAATGTCGAGCGTCGATCGCGTCAAGAACTGATCGTTATTGCGTCCAAGCGACGATATGCGATACAGTTCAGTAGCGGACGAAGCGTTCCTTTGCGCAAATTTTTGGCAAATGTTACGTTTAAACGGACAACCGCTATCTCCTCCACGAGGCGCGTTCGAACGAAAACACCAGTCGAAAGGGAACTCGCCCCGACCTGTTCCGTCGGTTCACGATCTTCCTTGCTCTTACTGTTCGTCTCGCAAAAGAGAAACACACCGGCTCGCGTTTATGCACACTTGGACGACGGTCGGGGGCCGACTGTTGCCACCACCGTGATCCACGACCACGTGGACCTTAGCAATGCCTCAACATCCGCTCGTGAATATGTATTTATAGGTTCGTATACAACAACATGGTTGTACGCGAATGTTTCTCGCCTAAATGATCCCCGTGGACCTGATATCCTTCAACTTCATCTCTTCCTTTTCCTTTCTTTCTGTTTCTTTTTTTTTTTCTATCCTTTCTTTCGCGATTTCGGCTCCGACCTTTCAACGAAATAAAAGCAATCGTTCTCGCTATGGTATTCAGAGACACGGGATAAACCATGGACGCCTGAGGTGTGATTTGTTTTTTACCTAGAGCGCCCTATGGTTCCCTTTTCTTACTTCCTTTATTTTATCCTATTCGTTGCATCGCTCTTGAAAAAGGTAATCGAATTCCTCTGGGAGAATCAGTGCAGCGGTACTGTTTACTCAGATTTGTTTCCTGAGAAAATGAAAGAGGAAAAAGGGATAGTAAGCCGTGTGGAAAATCTTGTACAGCTATTGATATTCATTTGTTCATCGGACGTTCAGAAAATAGGATTTACATATATGTAGGTATATTTTAAAAAGAACAAGACACTGAGACAAGGATTCGCCGCAGGAGTTCTTGTATAGTGATTCAGGAACTCTTTGATAGAAATCGAAATATGTTGTATATATAAATATCTTGATACAAAAGGTATAATGTATAATATATAACGATACATAATATATAGTAATTCAAACTCATACACGATCAACATGACGATCTAAAGTGTATTGAAATTCGGACGATTAAAAATTCCAACAATTTTATAAATAATCACTAACTTTATCTTCAGCGTTATATCGTCGAACTATTGTCCATCCATTTATTTTGTTGCGCGGATCATTGACATTCGAGCCTGTTAAAATTGAATAACCTCGCGTAATCAATGGATTTTAACGTTGCAATTTAAAACAACAATTTTGTATTATTAATCCTATCGCAGATCCTATCGATCGTACAATTCGTTAATTCCAGTGAATTGTCATCTAGTGAATTGTTATCAATGCTTAAATTTATTTACTTGCGCAGAAGGAGCGTCAAAGCGACTTTTAACGACCCGATTTGTTTAGCAAATAGACGCATGCGGGATTTAAGACGAATAGGTCGATCGACTGACCTCTTGTTGTATTGAAACGTTCAACTGAGACCAATCATACGCAGTTGCCTATCATTTCCATTATCGAAACTCATCCTCTCATCGGTCAAACGATTGCTTCGGTTATTAATTAATATTAATTAATGGTATCTAGACGGAGGAAAATAAATGAGCGCCAAAATTGTAAAATGATGAAATTAATTATCGCTCGAAAGAAGGAAAGTATCAGACCGAAATTTATACATTATCGTCAGACAGAATAAACACTTTGCGTTGCGCGATACATCAAACCACGTTTTTCGCCGATTAACTACGTCACGACTTAGTTACATAATACTAATTTCCAGAATATACTTAAAATGATCGGTTTGCGATTTTTCATAGAAATTTTAGAAATTTTCAATGGTGCATCTCTGAGAATTTGATTAATTTCTTTTGCAGTAAATGAATAAAAGTTGTTCTTCTCGCATTATCTATTTTTTTTATACACACCATTAACCATAAGCATTGGAGCATCTTCTAATCGTTGTATTTATTGAAAAATCTTAACAAATTTTACTGTATTTAAAATTTTACATTATATGGCATGTATGATGCGAATAAAATGACAGATTTTTACCAAAATAACTGGCGAGTAAAACCAGTAAAAATTTTAATTTGTACCAAATACATATTAATACATCTAGTAGCATACTAGTAGATAATATCTTAATACTTATGGTCGATACTTTCATGGTGGCTTCTTTGATTCAAGTTTTATGCGTTATAACCAACCATAGAAGTAAGATCTTAAGAATACACTAACGTACACCTAATCGCGATCCTTCCTACATTCTCAATGGCGAATTTCTCATCATTTTCTCTTTCACTTTCATCACAATGTACCTAAGGTCTGCCAGTGTTTCGTTAACAATTGCCATTAACATCGTATAAATCAACACCTATCGTAACGAATATACGAAAAAAGAACCTCTCTTCGTTACAAATATCAGTGAAAAACTGCGTGTACCAGTTCCAGACAGCGTTTCAAAGAATTTCTTCGTTCGACAGGAGCAGATGGATCGAGGATTTTCGTGTGGGGACTTCGCCAAGAAGTTGATACGATCTTCTTCGTAGAACGATTTAAACGATCGTCCGTTTATCGTATTTTCTGAAGCAGTATATAACAAGAAAAATATTGATCGACGGAGAAATATTCGATCGAAGCGAATCGAAGGTTGTCCAGGCAGGAACTAAATAGATTCGAGAAGACTTGGAGTGTGTAATTGAAAGTGTTTTTGCCGCGGGATGGTTCAGGTATGTAGAGATGACTTTAAGGGAGATAGACATCACAGAAGAAAGAAAAACGAACAACCGCATCTCCTCGTTAATATCCTCAAAGCGTGAAGAGAAATAAATGGCTCAAAGGCGATTCCTCCGTGGTTCGTAAATATTCTCGCGTCTCTAATATAAAGAACGCTACGTGGAAGGGAAACTGAAGATGCTTGATCCTTTCCTTCATCTTCTTTCTTTTCCTTTTTCTTCTTTTTCTTTTCGGAAACGGTAGGTCCATTCTGGTTGACTGAAATGAGATTCTCTTCTTTTTTCTACTCTTTATCAGTCACGGGTGGTAATCCTATTAGCGGACACGAAAGAGGATAGCGGATTTCCACGTAACCGAATCGACAATCCTATTTATCTGTATTTTTTAAGCCGCATAGCTGAATCTAAAAATACGAAGCACGTGGTATTTAAAAAACGAGAACCAAAAAGCGAGAGAACCTGTCCGACCAGAGCTCGCCCTCCGCGTCTTATTTCGTAGAAATCGAGAATGCTGGGGCTGCATATGCGTTGCATTATACCGACGTAGTACCGGCCGATGCGGTGACTATATCAGAAAGTAAAGAAATGGTTGCATGAATTCATGCCAAGGGGAGATCCCACTGAAAAGAAAGAGTGAAAAACCTGTCTTCGTCGTTATATCGACAGTTACCTAATAAATACAGAGAGAGGCAAGGAGGAAGAAATAGGTAAAGTATGACGCATTTGCGAGACGACTAAACACGGTAAAGGAAGAAGTGGTGGCTAATTAATCGACTTCTCGTGCAACGCGTGCATTTCCCGCAATCATGTTGTTTTCCATACAATATCCACGCATAGAAGACAATGAAAGTGGTCGTTTAGACAGATCGACGATATTACAAAAGTCGAGTCGAGCGTGTTAACCGAACAAGGTAATAATTTCTTTACTTATCGATCTCCCATACCTGAATACATCGTTTCATTGCTACTGAAAATAGATTACATAATATTTTATATTTGAAAAGATTAAAATCAATCTATTTCAAATCGGTGTGTCTCCGTCAATTTTCAATACTTCATGATTATCGAAATTTTAGAAACCAACTGGAAACAATCAAATTCTCGTCGGTGGTTCTTCCAAACGAGATTGGACGATTCTTGCGAAACTTGGAACTCGTTCAGTTCGATTCCTCGAAACCACCTACCGAGTGCAATAATCTTCTAGACGAAACGTAGATTCCGATTTGCAGAGAGATCACGTTGATTAGCATTTATTTTTGGACGAAACAACGAGAAACAGAATGTCTCGTGCGCATCCACTGTGCCATATACGAGATTGATCTTAAATCTGTGCAAATCTACAAAACGAATCAATATATAAAATCAAATAATGCTAAACAGAAAAGCTAACGATGTATACCAAGTTACTATTATTGGTATTATTTCTTGCAATTTTCTATCAAACATATGATGCACCGCGGTGTAATGATGAACTATTAAAAATATAGTCGCAACCAGTTTCAATGGAGTAACAAAAAAGAAGGCAAAAAGACGTTTATCCGTGCCATAAACAGGTTCAATGTCAGCGATTGCGTAGGTTCCATCAAACCGTTGGCAACACAGTTTTGACCTGTCACTGTAGACCATGAATTTTCTTGATTACCAATTAAATCAACCTTCCTCGTTTCCATTTCCGCATACGTCATAACGGCACACAATTTCGTGAAACTCGAAACTCCCAAGTTGATTTTTCGTCTGCCATATAAATAATTATGAAACAGATGAAAATGAAGCGTCTCGAATACTAATCGAGAAAATGGATATCAGCCACGATTTTCACGGTTACGAAACGGCGTAGAGGCATAGCAAAATCTGATAAAGGCTTGCAATTTATAGATCCTCTGTGTAAACGTATCCAGAGTCCAGAGAAAACAGGACATGTCGTAATAATCATAGATACGCGAATTAAAGAACGTCAGGCCGTCGATGATATTGTCTCGGCGATGATGGTGACGACAACGTGTAATATTTGGCTTCTGATAACACCTCTTCTTTGACCCTCAACGCCAAGTAATCGTATCTTGAGCCATACTGACTCTTTGACATGGTAAGATAGAGTTGTTTGAATCGCTTAACATCTTGAAATTCAATCTTGAACTTTTTATAATATAATTGAACTTTTCATAATATGATTAATCTAGTTGAATATTATGAGACACGACTAGTCTTTAATATAATAATGAAAGAGTGTAGGTGTAGAAAATATCGCGTGTACTTTAGATCCAGCAAGACCAAAAAATGCGGTGGAGTATAATTGTACGAATCCTCTAGCATTCTTTTGTTTATTTATCGACCTATGTCGCATTGATAACAACGGAGAAATTCTATGGCTCACAATCGTTGCTCCTTGTGTGGTCTTCACGGTCGAATGTCGATCATGTGACCATACAGATATCTTTGATAACACTAGAAATCAGAGAGAAAGATACAAAAGGAATATCGCAAAAAGACAAAAGTGAAAATACGCAAAAAAAGACATATTAATCAGAATACGAGTTATCTACCCTTCCGGGAAACATCGTGTCCGGTGAATGATATGCACTGCATGTTGACAATAATGAAATGAGACCTTCGCTCGAGCGTTACTGCACGCCATTCGACGAATAATGCGTCGCTAATTAAACGACATTTTGTTTACGTTTTTTAAGTGAAGCTAAGAGAGAAAAAGAGAGAGAGAGAATGATGAGAAATGAGATGATGAGAGATGAATCTGATATAAGTATATATGTATTTTTATTAGTATTTGTCATACAACTGTGTATATAACAAATTATAGCAAAATTACAAATTTAAAAAATGATATATAAAAAATAAGAAAAAATTGTTAGAACTTCACACATATTATCAGAGCAATCACCTCACTCTACCACTCTGATTATAGATATATTTATTATATCTATATATCTATATATGTATATATGATACTTATTTATCTATAGATATAGATATATATATATATACACATATATAGGTATATTTTATATATTTAGGATTTGGGGAGTGCGGAAATAAGAAGAGGATGTAATTTTTTAAGCCCTGGTACATTCCATTCTTTGTAGCTCGATATTTCTTCCTCGCACCTTTTTAGCCAAGCCTTTACATTCGGATATTGATCCATATCCACCAGAACCTAGAGAAAACATTCGGAAAGATGTCATCTGATTCTCGAAACGTTGTGATATTCGTTTTAATAAAAATTAAACAACTTACAGAGATACTGCTGGCCAGAGTTACGCAACTAATATCCGCGACAGTGTAAGATTTGCCGACCAACCACTTCTTCTTGCCTTCCAGAATCTTATCCAAGTACGAGAACGCTTCTTTACATCCGTTCAACTTTTCTTCGGTGATAGTAGACTCTTGTCCCAATATTATCGGTAGCTATGACAGTGAAAAATTACAAATAACATAAAAAGGAAAAATACATAAAGTGTAGAAAATGTAAATTTAAATGAACGAGGATATAATAGAATTGTAAATATTCCGAATTAATGATGTGGATATCATCAGCCTATGAAATTATCTGTCACTGCAGAAGGTTTGCGTCATGAGCAACTGCGTTATAGTCTGCACAAGACCAAACTTCCGGACGCACATTTATTTCCAAGGGTCAAAGTTAATTCGTATAACTTCTAAATCTATGTACAACATAAGTGTTCTACTATAATCAACCGTATCGTATGCTTACAACATCAACGCTATGGGTTAGATTTAGGTTTTTAGTGTGGACTCTCAATTTCTAGAAAGAATCTGTATATTTTCCTAAATTTATTCTCATATGTTGCTTTCACGTTAGCTTATTAATCACCTGGATTCCTAATTAGAAACGTCATATAGTGATCGTTCGGAAATTTGCTTGAATTCGAGAAAAAGATTAAAAAAATCATTATTGATATACACGACTCTCGTTTCTCTCTCGTGATTCTTTCAAATATATATCAATGATTCTCTTAAAACATTAAAAGTCTTTTTTACTTGCTCGAAACCGAAGCAAGATTGAGTCGTAAAAAAATTCGAAGGCCATAGCAGAATTAATATAACCCTCTTTTTTCAATTTCTTGCCGAACAAAATCTTTCATCTTTTTCTCCAATTCGCATAAACTTAACCAAAAACGCGCTTCTTTCTCCTGTTCGGAAAGCTTAGAACTTGCTTGATTACATTAATTACACATTACAACATTAGTAACATTAATTTGGCCCTGCTACTAGTTAAAAGTGTATATGTATAGAAGTACACGTCTGGAAACGAGTCGCTCGTAGTTGGCCCATCACGGACAAAAATGTACAGTTAGCCGACTTTATTAGGCGCCGTAAAAGGTACATAGGATGCTCAAGAACTTCCTGCCGGTATCACATAATGCTCCTGCGTGTACATACGCGCGGAAAAGCGAATCGCATTAACCTCCTTTCGCGTGATTTAATCGGCCGCCTCGATGACCGCCTTTGTCTAGTACAGCATCATCGATAGGAGTGCACGAACTAACCTATGTAAATGCGCAACACAAGCGTTTCTTTCCTGTTTGTTTGAAAATCTGTAGCGCGATGAAATTCTTTTATCTTACTATACGAGACGTGGTGAAAGTGAATTTGGAAAACTGGCCTTTGGATGCTTGACTATACAAGTATTAGCAATCACCATTGTTTTATACGTGCAACGGATTTCCCAACGATGGGAAAAACGTAAGCCGATGACACAATTGGATAAGATGACAATAAGGTGTGAAAAATCTGACATACACCAAATAAACTTCACCACTCACTCGAACAACGAATTACTCACCAAGGTGTGTTTCACAAGAGGGAACATTGTCGCCGCTTCGAATATGAGATACTGATTAACCTGAGCTCGTATCTGCAGATCTTTCGGGTATAGAGAATACTCATAATTTGACAAATCATCAATCACATAACAAGCGATAGCGTGACTGAAAAGAAATCGATGTTAATTATTAAATGAATACATCAAGAATTCAAAGTAGAAGATATAAAAATGTTTTACCTATCCATAAGAACAAAGTCGTTCTCTTTTAACACCGGAATCGTGTGCAAAGGATTTATCTAGTAAAAAAGTTAGAAACAAGTAAAAATTTTAATTCCATTTTAACGCGTTTCGTTTACTAGGAAGCGTTGAACTTTTTACTTTTAAAAATGCCTCTGATAGATGTTCCTTCTTCTCCAGGCTAATCTGACGAATATCGAACTTCAGCTTAAGTTCATTAATCACCATTAGAACGGTACGACATTGTGGAGTAATGTCATTTACGTATATGGAAATTTCCATCCAGTCCTGTAAAAATAATTCATCTTTTACAGATCCTGATACGTCAGTATACTTTCAAGAGAAAATAATATCTTTACATCGATTTTATATAAAGTAATGATCGTGCAACGTAATGTAATTTTAAATACATACAAGGAGAGGGCTAAATTGTTATTTTAAAGAACGACTCACATCCATTTTCTTAAGTGTACACCTGATGTACTACTAGAAGATGTAGACCTCTTGATGTTTTTTCAGCGACTGGCTAAAACAGATAATCGATGATTCGATATTGGTTAATATTTTGATCAACGGCGCTCAGTTCGCCGCGACACCGATACCTGACACGAGTTCTCGAGACAGGTTTCCGTGTCTTATCGCCCATATACGATATATGTAAATAACGGGAACCAGGTATCTGTGTGTAATCCATTAGTGTTGGTCCGATTTCTGTAACGTAACGTAATACGTACGTATCTGGTATATATGTACCTCTTTCCTCACCTCGTTCCTCACCTCCTGCTATCCTTTTTCACGTATTGTTACACATACACTATAGAATAAAAATCACCTAACCACAGCAATAATAATCACGATTCTATTCGTTTCATCGATTTCTACACTATACAAGTATACGTTAACAGCCTTCACTGCGGTTCCGATTTTTACCTCCTACGTTGCTATGTGCTAACAAATTACTTTTTCCGATTTTTCTAAATCTTTTTATAATTTCAAATTTCCTTTAATATTATATCTTTGTCCTTCTGCATTACAGTCTGTTACAGTCTGTTATTCAAATAATCATCTTTGCCCATTCAAAACCATGGCAAGGAAATAAATAGGTGAAAGTCACTGCCGCGAACGAGCATTAATTCTCGAGAGATTGATAATTCCATTCATTAATTAGACTGCGAATTTCTATATAATTTCATATCTCTACGCAGGAAAGTAAAGAAATGGTACATACGTATTAATTTATCTATATAGTACAGAATAGAATCTACGTACTAAGAATTATGACGAATACTCCACTCGCTGTGTCTGTAAATTGATCGTAAATGCATATATGGCGTTGTATGGATGTATGCTGCGATTCATAAAACAAGAAACATTATCTATTCTGTTCTAATTAGAAAAACATACACGTATTCAAGTTTGATGTTCTCTTTATCCGTAACTAATAAATTAAATACTAATTGTCAACGAAAGTTGAGTTATATTATTTCCATATTAAGTCATATGATATACAGTTAAAATTAAACGAGTACCAAAATAAATTTGGAAAGTTTCTTTATTTTCTTTCCTGCCTTTTCACTTTTATTCGACGAGAGTTCCATGTTTCACACGAAAGTTTTAGAAAATTGAGTTAGGAAATTTGACGAAATAAAATAAAAGCACGTATGTATGTGTTATTTACCGGATCAGACCTCTACCCTTTGCAGTCTCCATGGCAAAACAAAAATAACGCAAATGACTTATTCTTCTTGAAATTAAATAAAATCTTCGTTTGGATTACACGTGTCGTTATGCAATAGAGAAGACATTGACTAGTGCAAATACGATTATCATAAGTAACTTATCATCATCACTGGACAAGTAACCGTGGTAATTAGATACTCGAGAAACTAATGACAATGATCTTAGGTTCAATAACGAATCCGCGGTCGACGGGATGATAGATGAACGTGCTCACAAAATCTAAGTCGGACGCGTAATATTCACGGGTCGTAAGGTGTTACTCTTTTCGTCGATGAGATCGCAAGAAGGAATGAATTTCCGTCCCGATGATGCCACAGAGGAAAACTATAATGGGATGTGTCTAAGGACACGAGATCATCAGATTCGTCGAGGATAGCCTTCGTTCAGAAAGTAAGGAAAATTGCCGTTGCCGCTAATTGGTCAATCTCCACATCGGTGGTTAGAAAAAGATGCTAACCGCCCTCGAGAGAAAGTTGCTAGTGGGAGACGTCGTTCGTTGAAAAATAGGTCTCCTCTATCTTCTCGTAGTTGGGACAGAGACTGTTTGTTTGAAGGACTTTAGTTAGCTAAATCTTAAGATTTATAACGGGCCCTTAGGCTAGCTGAACATGTACTGCGGAGACGCGTCGGCATCTGATAACCATCATACTCGAAGAATAGGATCTGCGTGTGGCGAGCCACAGGACAGAAACCGTTGGAATGTTTACTGTCGCGTGCCGCTACAAATATTTCTTTTCAGGAGAGCTATTACTCCGTACCTTTGTTAGACAAAGCGTTCATTCCGTGACCGCGGCCACGTTCGGCGACTGGCTGTCGCCTCGAGCCCAAGCTCATTATCACAAATTTCGAACAAATACAATCGGATCGAAAGACGACAACTGTTTAATTACGCCTATGATAGAATCTAGATTACGGTGTTATGGGATTATCCCGAAGTTCCAAAAGGGAGGCTTCGATGTCCTTTCATCTCCGACATATAAATATAAATAAATATGTATATATAATATATGAATATTAAATATATATATATTGTTGTCTTTTCTATATTCAGAGGTAGGATCACAATAGCTATTATTTTATTCCTTGGATAAATCTATCACACCGTTCTGAGCCAAAAAAAACCTTTTTTGCACATTCTTACGTGGACTAGGGATAAAAAAAACAAAAGAACATCTTAAACCTGTTGATTAAATCTATCGATTGTAACTAGAACTATCTTCTAGTTCCTATTTCTTGTAACTAACGCATCTGCATATGGATGCAAATTCCAATGATTCCCTTTTGGTAAATCTCACGAATATAATGATGGCGGATATCTATATGTTTCGTGCGACCGTGGAACACTGGATTTTGAACAAACTTAGCTGCACTCTGGTTGTTACAATATATTTCGATTGCTCTTTCTTCAACCAATATATCAAACTTGCTTAGAAATCGTCGCAAGTATACGGCTTCTCCAGTGGCTTCTGTTAGCGCCATGTATGTAGCGGCCTCGGTGCTGGAAATTGCCACACTTTTTTGCTTTCTAGATTTCCATGATATAGCACCGTTCGATAGTTTGAATATGAAGCCAGTTCTAGATTTTATATCATCAATATCACCTCCCCAGTCGGAGTCGACATATCCTGTTAGATCATCACCAATATCCTTCTTTGGTCTCCTCATTTTGATAAAATTGCAGGTCCAAACAAAAATTCAATTTTCCAAGATCCCTTATTTCGAACTTTTTCATTAAGTTCTCTTTAAAGTAAGTAAACAATTTATGGTCGTTAGTGGGTATTATTAGATCATCCACATAAACTGCCAGTATGAGGATTTTATCTCTATCAGTTATTGAATAAACACAAGGATCTTCTTCAATTTGTTTAAGGTTAAGTTCTTTCAAGTAACCATTTAATTTATCAAACCATTGTTTATTGAAGTGCTTCAATCATATAAAGATTTCCTTAAATAGTATACGTAATCTTCCTTGCCCGGTACTTCAAAATATTTGACTTGAAGCATGTAAATATCTTCATTCAAATCACCATAAGCATATGCCATGGTTATATCCAATTGACATAAATCCAATTTTAATTTAGCAGCTAAGGCCATTATAACTCTAATGGAAGTTAATCGTGCCACGGGAGCAAAGGTTTCGTTGTATTCAATACCTGGTTTTTGAGCAAAACCTCTTGCTACTAATCTAGCTTTTCTGTGTTTAACTTTTCCATTTTCTTTATATTTGGTCATTAAAACCCATTTTGATTCAAGTGGAGATCTATTCACTGGACATTTTACTAATTCCCAAACGTTATTTTTGATCAAGCAGTCATATTCCTTTTTCATAGCTTCTTTCCATTTTTCTGCATGAGGTCCAGATAATAATTTATCTATTGACTCAGTCGAATTATCACTGACTAATTGTACAGTTCCTTGATTTTATAGTTTTATAGGGACAGTTTTATGAATTTTCCTTGGTCTACCAACATTTCCTGTTCGCATTGTTTAGCCTTTCTTGCCCCCTCTTGATCACAAATCTATCTTGAACACAATTTTCATTTTGATTCATGTTTTCACCATCATCATGTTCTTTTTCATGAATCTCTTCTGAGATGTCTTCGTCAAATTCTTGATTTATCAGTTCATATTTAAATTATTCAAGTTCATTTTCAGTTTCATCATTGTGGTACTCAATATTTCTTAAGAAAGAAACATCTCTACATATTATGAATTTTCTTTTACTTGGATCCCATAATCGAAACGCTTTTGATTCAACGAAATATCCAATAAAAATACACTTTGTTGATCTTGCTTCAAATTTACTTTTATCGGGCCGCTTAGTTAATACATAAGCTTCGGTACCAAAAATTTTAAGATGATTCACATTTGGTTTCCTTTTGTGCCAAATTTCATATGGTGTTTTACCATGAACTGTTGGGCACCTATTCCTAATATATGACACTGTATTAACAGCTTCCACCCAAAATTGGATAGGTAACTTTGACTGGATCAACATACATCATGCCATCTCCATGAGTGTTCTATTCATTCGCTCAGCTACTCCATTTTTCTGAGGTGTATGGGAAGTTGTAAATTCCTTGCAAATACCACAATTTTCCAATTCATTTGTGAAATCCTTTCCTAAATATTCCAAACCACTATCAGTTCTGAGGGTTTTTATCTTTTTACCCGTTTGTCTTTCAACTAAAGCTTTAAATTTCCAAAATGCCTTTTTAACCTCATCTTTTGTCTTAAGGATATACATATATACAAACCTTAATGTGTCATCAATAAAGGTGGCAAAATACTTTGCTCCATCCAAAGATGTTTGTCTTATAGGGCCACATACATCAAAATGTATCAGTTCTAATATTTCCAACATTTTTAATGTTGTTTGCCTTTCAAACATATTTCGCAAGTATTCATTTTACTCAATCTTACGTTAGGTAGACCATTTGCCATATTTTTATTTATTAATCTCCGAAGATCAGATTCATTTAAGTGTCCATATTGATAGTGCCAATCCATAAGTATATTTCTGTTTTCATATACCATACCAATATAATCAGATTTTGTATCTACAATATATAAATCCCTTTTACAAATAGCAGTAATAACGATTTCATCCTTCTTTCCAAATATTGTAGCCATTTTATTTGTAAATACAATCCTTTTTCCATTTGCTGTAACTTTTGATACTGAGATCAAATTTGCTTTTAATTCTGGTACGTATAATGTGTTTTCCAATCGAAATTTCTCAAGTTTGTTTTTTATATAACTAAATAATATTGCAGTGCCTTTACTTTTGATTTCAGCTAATTTGTCATTCGCTAATTTTACTTTTTGATTTCTGATTGGCTCTATGGATCCAAAAAGTCATTGGAATAAGACCTGATTTCTCGTTTTATAAAGCAATATTTTACAAGTCTTGAAAATATAAACAATTGGAAGCATTCGAATTGTTGCAAAAACTGAAAAGGATACCAATGGAATGCTCTGGTATCGAGGATAGTGAATTCTCTGAGTGTGAAGGAAGTGAACCAGGGGAAAAAGAAATTGAAATTTGTAGTGATAACAGTAATAGTGACATTAGTGATAAAGAAAATGAGTCCTCAGAAAGTGAGTAAGAGAACATTTTGAATGTACGCAAAAGACGTGCTCGGGTGCTTTCAAGTTCTGAAAGTGAAACTGAAAGTATACAAGCTAGTCCAAATGAAATTGCCATAAACGCAACTAAGTGGGAAAGAATTCAAGAAGAGTCAGCTTCTGGGAGATTACTCTTGCACAATATATTCAAAGACAAATGGCAAAAAAATATAGCGTGAAATCGGGATCAAGAAGATAGCCACTTCAAGTATTTTTTAATATTTTAGATTTAGCTGGTATAATTTCCTGGATTTTATATAAGAAAACCACAGGTGAGCAGATATCCAGAAAAGATTTTATGTTTCAATTAGTAGATGAACTTGCCGCTGACAATGAAAAATCACGGATAGAACATAGCGCATCTGAGATCCGAAGTACGTCAAAGAACTCACCTTTTATTCTCGCAAATGGTGTCAGACACGGTACTGTAATAATAATAAGACCACCACCATTTACAATCTTTGTAAAAAATATGTAAAAAAATGCACGCAGAAGAAAGCTTATGTTTGTAAGAAACATGATGAATGATAAATTTTGTACCTAATAATTTAAATTATATTTGTATTTTATTTATTCTATTACGCTTATTATTATATTCTTATATTATACTTCTTATATTTACCAATGGAAATTTATTTTAACATTCTTATTACCAAAGGTTTTAGTAATGAATATTCTTCATACTTATTACACTTATTGTTATTATTAAAGTTGTTATTATATAGTTTTTATGATCTCAGAATATGGAGTTTCTTTTGTAAGATAATAATAGATCAATAAATATAAAAATATTCTACTATTACGTATTTTTTAAAGACCGGCCATTTCGACCGATTTTGGTAGAGGTAGCTACGTCTCAAATGCCGGTAGGCCTAGCGTTGCCTCCATTTGCAATTTCCACGTGTCGTAATTTTCTTTGTTCAGCTTTTCAATACTTAAACTCGCCCCGCTCGACTTTTTTTATGTTCTTTTGATAACTGTATTATCACGTAAGCAATTATTATATATTCAATAAAGCGCCCTTATGATGTTCAACACTGAATCATCGATCATGCTTTTTTTTTCCTTTTTTTTTTTAGGTTATCTTCTGCACTCCTCAATATTATTACTATTAATAATATTTTCAATAAAGATAATAATTAATTATTGAACCTGGGTCTATAACTTGTTCTTTTCTATATTCAGAGGTAGGATCACAATAACTTTTATTTTATACCTTGGATAAATCTATCACACCGTTCTGAGACAAAAAAAACCTTTTTCGCACATTCTTACATGGATTAGGGATAAAAAAACAAAAAAACATCTTAAACCTATCGATTGTAACTAGAACTATCTTATAATTACTATAAGAACTATTTCTTATAACTAACGCATCTGCGTATGAATGGCGAGCACGAACTCACGTTATTATTTTCAACATATATTTAATTATCATATTTAAGAAAACGTATTTCTAATAAGCGAACCTATCAACTTATCAGCGTTATATAGTCGTTATAATAGATAATTCGATATTATGAACGTGATAACTTAGTAATAATACTTACCTAAGAAATATATGAACAGCGTCGTCAAGAGCTACAGACTGTCTATAATAAATAATCGTACTACGTGTATATATGAGTAACATAGTAACGTTCAACACTTCAAGTTACCTACCCTGTTTATCGGATTGTACTCCTTTCAGAAATAAACTACCAACTGTAAATGTTAAAGAACGAGTTATTTATTTATCTTTGTACTCTTTTCAGAAGTAAACTACCAACTGTAAATATTCAAGAACAAGTTATTTATTTATCTTCTATTATAATTGTACTACATGTATATATGAGTAACATAGTAACGTTCAACACTTCAAGTTACCTATCCTGTTTATCGGATCGTACTCCTTTCAGAAGTAAATTACCAACTGTAAATATTAAAGGACGAGTTATTTGTTTATCTTTGTACTCCTTTCAGAAGTAAATTACCAATCATAAATATTCAAGGACGAGTTATCCTCTATTATAATTATTATCCTCTATTATAATTATTTATCCTCTATTATAATTTAATTTGATCATCTTCGACGCACTTACATTATTTCGTTGATGACAATTTTTTGCATATTAAACATTTCTTTCTTTTTTCTTAATTTTAATACAAGTATAAAAATTTGACGTTTAATATGTAAATCTCATAATACAAAGATCTCCTACCTTTCTAAACAAATGTAACGATTGTTTGCGCTTGCGTTTATGGCCGACAATGTACATTACACACACAGACCAAATTCATCGTGTCAATGGAAATCAAATGTATGTAATCGTTACACGCGATAGAGTTTATTTCAATAACGTTTTACCAACTATGGTTCACTAACTTTCTCACGAGATACACGCTCGTAAATAGTTACTATAACTGATCGTTCTCGGTCCATTAATAGAAAAGAATATTCGGTACGAAGGGGCAAATATGGTGATAGTCAAAAATATTTTCTCGGGACCACTTTTTTTCGAGATTTCAAATCTCGAAAATGATACTACATATTTGCATTACAACAGTCTTGTAACCGATAAGAAAACAAATTCAACGATACATTATTCTTGGTATTGCACTGGATTACATATCGACAACGAATATAACCGAGCATAATTTCAAAAGCGTCACGGATTCGTAGCACAAAATAATCTGATAAATGAGGACAGGGTCAATGTTACGTAATGTTACGCAATACGAAAACAATCGATGTTCTAACCGTTTATGATAACGCGTTGATAAATAGCGAAAGAAAAAGCAATTAATATATTACGAAAGATTAACGATCCCATGAATTAAGAATATTTCAATACTCTGTAGAAATATATGTAGAAATATCTACTCGGAAAAATATCTTCGATTCCTATAATTTGCTAAACTCGTTAACAATAAAGAAATGTGAAAAAATTAATTTTATAAATTTGCCACTCAATTACACAATTTGCGAGATCTATCGTCTAGATCATGCAACTATGCTGATTTAAAAAGTTCATTCTCGCGACACCTAGCATTCACATGTCTATTTATGACTATTAATTTCGGAGCAGATAAATGAATACCATTTTTGTTTCTAACAGTCGTACAGGTAGATTTTGCATTATCGATCAAGATATATATAAGCATATCGTAGGATAACTTAAGATGAATTTCACAATTTATGAAATCGCTTATAATTCTGAATCATTTTAGTTATTATGCCATGTTTAATATGATTAAAGACCACTTATCAATGATGAAACTTCTAATTTTTATATATTTGATATTTCGATGATCGATATTCTGTGATCGCGGAAATAAAAACACGTGTAATAGAAGGATCGGCTTATCGATTAAAAGACTCTATTCCTTCTATTCATATATACATATATGATAACCCGTAGAAAATAAAATTCTTTTGTCAATAATTAAACGAAGTAATGTAATAACATCCTTCGCAGATACTAGAATGTTTATAGATAGCTTTCTAATATAGAAAGACAAGCAAAGAAGCTTAATCAACAATCGTTCATTCACGTGCCGTCCAACTTGGAAATATAAGAGGGATAGTTTCGCGAGTCGGTGGTCATTCAGTTTGTTCAGTTGTGGCTCAACCACCTAACTGACAACATGTATTCCTTTATGTTATTTGCAACTGAGTGGTACTCGTTGAAACTTGACAAAATGTCATCCTGAACTGAGAGCTTGCCTAAAGTGAATTGTTAGCATTGCAATTTATCGTGACATTTATTTATTGTTCAACTTTTAATTGTTGTTTCAAAGTGACATATTATCTCCATATATAACTATAGTATAATTCGACAAACAGAATTTGAAGCGCGCGTGATACTTTCGGTAGAATAAAAGATGGCGTGTCCCTTATCAGGTGGTATTGCGTAAGTAATCTTTTAAAAATATTTTCTTGTTATATCGAAATCTATGTAATGCTTGCTAATTCTTGATTTAAATGATGAAATTGTACATTCCTCCGACAATAATCATTTTTTCGATTTAAAAATAAATAATCATCAAAATTAATCGTTATACGAAATGATATCTGTCATTTTGAATCAAATAATTTGCTTTACATTTTGAATTGAATATGCAGTGCTTTAAATAACGTATAAATTAATGAATTTAAATTTAACGATAAAATTGAATTATTTGTTTTTAGAGAAGATCATGAGACTGATCATCAAGAGACTGATCAGTTGGCCGAAGGTTCGGGTATGCTTTACGGTGAATACCTTCGATTGGATAAAATCTTAACCGCACAAAGGTTACTGAGCGTCGAATATAACAAGGAAGTGCATGATGAACATCTTTTTATCATCACTCATCAGGGTAATAATTTTTATCGTTGCAACATTCGTAACAAGTTATGGACTATATTATGCAACAGAGGTTTGACTTTATCCATTTGAATCAAAAATCAATTTCCTGTTCCTCTATAGTAATATATGTAGCATGAATATATTACTCATGCCATTAAAAATTATTTCAGGTACTATACTGTCATTCTTAGTTAAAATATCTTATCTAGCTTCTTTATCGTTTTTCAATATATGTTCCAATATTTCATGATATTCGTTTTTTTTTTAATAACTTTATAGATAATAGAAATTAGATACTTGCAATTGAATGAAAAAGGATAAAGATAGCACAAGAAAAATGATGAAAGATCAGTTTTCTTCAATTTCGAAACAGTGTTTCAAATAATAATAATAATAATTGGTATATTCTTTTTAAGTAAAAAGGGCAATACACGAAATTTAATTTGATAAAAAGAATGACTACCAAAGGAATTATATTTTTCTACCTTTAATCCATAGCGTATGAACTCTGGTTCAAACAAATTATCTACGAATTGGACTCGGTCAGAGTACTTTTCAACTCCGAGCCAAGCAGCTATGATTTCAATGGTACCTCTAACAATCTCACTGCTCTCCAGAAGACTCGAATTTCCCAAGTTCTGAACGAATCAAGAACGCTGGAAATCTTGAAGAGATTAAACCGCATCGTTCTCATATTAAAAGTAAGCAAAGTCGAAAGTCCTTGAGATAATCCTATCTCATGGATGTTACGATGAAAACGGTTGAACGATAAAAGATTGTTTAAATAAAGAGGAAAATAACGGTAAATAGGTTTCCCGCGCAACGCGCACATCGTCGAGTAATCTTATACTCTAGGAAAAGAAGGCCAGTGGCCATATGTTGACAATGACAGTGATGGAAGGAATGTGAACGACCCTTAATCGGAAGCCAATTAGAGCATTGATACTTATGACAAAGGGTGCTTCAACGTTACATCTAATCACATTTCAAACGTTACCCTTCAAAATTGGCATACGTGCTACTTTACAAATCGCAAGTAGAAAATACTACAAAAAATATTTGAAACTTTCAAGATACGATAATACGCAGATGGCAACACGCATTTGCAGAAACAGACATATCGTTCCATTCTCACGCGACATTTGCATTTTCAATTAATTAAATAACGAAAACTTTTATATTTATCAAATAAATTCAAATAATCAAGGAAAAAATGAAAAATCAAGTCCGACTTGCGCTAATAGGATTTGTTCTCTGTAAACTCATATTTCTTTCCTTTTTATAAGTCACATAAGTTCGTCTGTTTTAAAAACAATGTTCTTTAAAATATTGTACACTTTTCACGATTGTCGTATAATCAAAATCATATGGAAGTTTGCTAAGCGGATCAAGGTTCTTAGCAATGCGACACTTTTTCATTACTATCACTTTTCTCCTCCTCTTTCATGCCGGAATAAGAAAGACTGTGGGAACTGTAGAAATAACAGTGCGATCTAAGTAAGTTAATACCGCTGGACGATATGCGACACCCCGCACTGACACGCATAGATCAGTTAGGTAACAAGCGCATTGGCGCTCTTTCCATACCACAGAATACAGGTGTGGTTACCACGTTTTTTTTCTCGTTCTATTGAAAAATTATGTAGCAGGGTTAAGTAAGTGGGATTTAATACGGGATACAATCGTGTCCTTTCAAAGCTGCTATTCAAAATGATGTTTCCACCAGAAACCATAACAAGACTATTTGGGTTACGACCATATTCAATGTTATTGATTTTTTATTTCTCTTTCATGTCTCTGTTTTTAAATTTGATTATTAGAATAACTGTAAAAAAGTTATTACTACCCATCTTAATGATTACTTCTTCCTCGTACGATAGGAGCGTAAACGCGGAAACCATATAAATGCAAGTACGGTTGCTTAGACGTAGACTCGGTAAGATCGATTGAACGTCTGTATACAAAGACAATAAATAGACCTTAAAGGTGTACATATTTTCGATATTGAAAATGTCTAATATCCAAAAGATGATATTCTTCGATATTCATATGAACATGTATCTTCCAGTTGCTAGTGGACCAAGTAACAATTTTGGAAACCATGACGCCGCTGGATTTTATGGCATTTAGAGACTACCTATGCCCAGCTTCGGGTTTTCAATCGCTACAGTTTCGTTTATTGGAGAATAAGTTGGGTGTGAAACAGGAGCACAGAGTCAAGTATAATCAAAGTTACGCCAGAGCGTTCGGAAGGGATCCAAAAGCTATCGAAGCGATTAAACGTTCGGAAGATGAACCTAGTCTCAGTTGCCTTGTTCAGAAATGGTTAGCAAGGACACCGGGTCTAGAACCTCATGACTTTGATTTCTGGGGAAAATACAAAAAATCCGTCGAGGATCTCCTCGTCGAGCAGGAGCAACTTGCTCAAGTAATCATTTGCTTTACGTGTGG